ACAATGGATAAACTATATAAAAGCGAAAGCACAGTACAGTTACTTCCGTAATTAAAATTCAGATTCTTCGACCCTTGAAAGTTCTTGATAAACTAGAAATTGATTGCACGTGCAGAATACAACCTGAAGTGACTTTCGAAATTCTCCGTGTCATACCTAGCAGGTTTTCTTAGTGCAGATTGACTGGATGTCCATTAACTTTGTGAAAAATAGGTTGATAACGTCAGTATCTAATTTCTTCTTGTATGTTGATTAATTTAGTTCGAGTGTTCACGATCCAAATGGAGAATGGAGCACACCATCAAACTAAAACTAGTGAACAAACAGTGACACAGATTAGTTTACTCAACAATAACATCTTAGATTCACCAGTGTATTAATACAAGTGTGACTCCAAATAACCTTGCTTAAATTATAATGAAAATAAATGTCATTCATTCTTTCTGAGATAAACTAACTTATTCCATTCTCCAGCCATGAGCTTTAAATTTTGAATATAATAGACATGAACAGCCATTTGCAAATATTGGCGCGGGAAAATGGAATGGTGGTTGGATGAAGCATGTTCAATGGTATTGAAACCTATGTTTCCTTGACAGTGATTCTAGAAATTATCAAATTTTTTATTTTCACTATAACAAAAAATGCAGTTTTCTCATACTAAAAAGACTTCACGCATGTAGAGACAGTAAAAGAATTTGAATTTTTTTATAAAGAGGTTTCATAAACCAATCTCCAAACTGTTGCCAGTGAAGTCATAACGTGACTAAAGTAGAAATAGGTAAACTCTGTTAGTAGGATCTTATTGATTTCTAAAATATGAATTAGTAGAATTACTGTCAGAACAGATATCGCTGGAGTCCATTGAAAAAAGAAATTCCCAAAAATAGTAATTAAAGTGCACAACAAACTTGTGAATTAGAACAGTTGTATTTGTAAATAAAAAACGGTACAATTTTGTCGGAGAATAAATTAGATATAACTGATTGAATTGTTTTTATTGATCGTAATCAACGAATGCCTTATGCACTTGTTAATCGAAATATATATTTGACATTGGAAATATCGAGTTTGAAAGATAATCACAACCATGACTTATCAAAGACTGAATAAGGTTCAAAAATTTACGACTTAAACGATGAGAACATATTAGCCAAGTAGGTATTCTTAGAAAATGAGATTCTTCACTGTAATATAATGAAATTGTTACAAATTTCCAAGCTGAAGAAATTATACTTCATGAAATAGATATGTTGTCAACGTTAGTTTCAACGTCGGGCTTACCACATTTTTGCGGTATTAGATTTGATGTAGGGCTGGCTCAACACTTTTGTGGCCCGCGACCCAATATTTATGAACATTTAAATATGCTATGAAATCAATTTCCCTATCAGTTTCCGTATATTATGCTGAGGCGAACCCCGTTTGTTCGGTTGCGGTAATAAGAAGCCAAATATGGATTTGGTTGTATGAGTGTATTTCAGACAATCGTTCCTGCAGACATGATAGATAATGAAAAGCACACAAGCAAAGCGAGGTGAAGCGAAGGGACGTGAAATGGAAAGGGCGAGAGAGCTAACTCGACTCGATGACTAAGTTGGACAAAAATAAGCAAGACATGTAATAAGCGAGATATGCATGCATACACACGAATAAAAGCAACGCAGATATGAGCAAATGACTGACAAGGTCAAATGACAAGTGGGACGAGCCCTGTGTGCTAGACATGAAAGCACTCACAACAAATATTACTGAAGTATTTAATATATAAATCCGCTTGGAAGCCCATGTCCAAAGTGAATTACAAAACCACATACTTACTGGTGTAAAGTATTCCAATTATTTTGTCTTACACAGAAATAGTATATTTCATTCAATGAGCTTAACTATAATAAATTATGTCAGAGTTGAAAGATTACAGGTTCCATGTATTCCTGAGGCTGTACAAATAATAACACAAATGGACAGTAAGTTGGTTTGAAGTAATGATTTGTCGGTCGTACACAGAGAGTTACGATCACAGGACTAGTGAATAACTATTTAAAGAATGAGGTGACCTTCCAGCATTTGAGGACCAGTAACAAAGAACACCATAAGCTTAAAAGTTCCATTGAGATTAGCATACTTACTTACTTACTTATTTACCACTGTAACCCCCAATGGAGCAGAGGCCGCCCACCAGTGTTCTCCAACCTACTCTTCCCTTGGCTTTCCTTTCCAATTCTTTCCAATTTTTGATCTTTTTTGACAGTTGTTTTGAGTCCCAGATGTTCTTCAATTGTAGAGATATAGCCCGCGATTTACCGATCCGTGCCTTCACACCTGCATCAGATGCAGCTTGATCATCGATGACGCTGACCAGATGACCTCCAAGGCATCTCCATCAAGAGTGATTTGGTTGGTACTTGTGATGTTGTATCCCAGAATCTTGCTTTTCCCTTTATGTGAGACCTGCTGATGCTGCACTGGTCGTCTTCTCTTGCCTATGTTGTTGAGTGTGCGATAGAACAGCCAGATCATCTTTAGAGTCCAGATCGTCCAGCTACATCCTAGTTGCCCTCTGTGTGCCATGCTTCCCTCCAGATGTTGACGTCTTCATAATCCAGTCGATCACCAGGAAAAAGAGAAAGGGCGAGAGTAAGCGACCTTGCCTGACGCCGGTTTTCACCCCAAATGAATCTGTCAGCTGTCATCCATGCATGATTTCGCAGTTTAATCCATCATAAGAAATTAGCATGCCAGGCATTAATGTTAATTTACTAAATATTCATGGACTTTTCGGCGTTATTTATCCGTGAAAGTTGATAAGCTTTTACTAAGCGTTCAACTCATGATATTTCTTTATATTCATCGACCAAGATTATCAAAAATTAAAACTATCTTCAGTCCTATCCGAATGTCTATTTGAACAAGATTAATTATTTAAAAGACTTTATGGCAATGTAAAAGAATAGTCAGTGAGTTTACAACACAACTTGAGAATTATAACACCAGTCATAACCAAATCAATTGAAACAGATAGATTTAACCTTCCTAGAACAACAATATGGAAAAATTACCTTAAATTTATTTGGGGTCCAGTTTTGTTGACAGTAACATATTTAAGGTGGCCAGAATAATCATCGCTGAATGTTGGGGAAGTTAGATTCCCAGAACTCACTTGATAAAACGTCCTAGTTTTGAATTTTATGTTTACGCGAATGCGCTGATCAGTTGACAGTGAGATTACATTTCCCCCTCGGAAAATCTTTGACTGTCATTGATTGATGTGTCATTTTAGTACGTTGTTTTTGTGGCTCTCCCAACGACGTTTCTATCATATAGAAATAAAATCTATTTGTGTACTTGAAGACCTGATATTTACTGGGTGCTTGTAGAATACACTTTCTACGTCTTGTCAAGACTTCTTCTCCTACTTAGTGGAACCTTGGGACGGTCGGATTAGAGTAGACTTATTGTATCACTGGATCATTTGACTTCGCTCTCGTTTACCGACTAATGTGAACTCGTAATAGTTTCAAGCATATCACTCAAATAGTTTGAATACTTTCTGCTTTTTCTTTTTAGCACAATTTTTTTCTGTATAAATTCCTATTTTAATTCCAGCTTTTATTAAATAATTTATCAATGAAACTGAAATCATAACACATTGATATTCACTTATGATTCCATTGAATTTTCAACACATACACACAAGACAATTATTCAAAATTAAATTGTTTTATTTCTTTCTTGGTTGTTGTTGTTGTCGTTGATATTTTAACAATAAATAACATTTTTATTTTGAATAATAATAACAATAATTATCATTATTATAATAATTATAATTCCTACTGATCTAGTGTTATGATGTATGATATTATTGTTCATTTTGAACTTGCTATTTGGAAAAAAAACAATTTGATTAATTTATCTCAAAGCATTCATAATATAAGGAGAAAAAATAAAGAAGTAAAATTAACAAAGAAAAAAATCATTTGAGTTTAATGAAAAACATTCAAGTTTAAAATGGCCGCTCATTCAAACAATGTATGTGCAATTGAAACATTGAACATTAGAAAAAAAGAAACATAATTCAAGGTTCAAGGGAGATTCTTATCAAGACGATGAAATAAAAAGAAAAGAAAAGAAAGTATAATTCATACTGGACATACGACTATGCAAAATATCCTCCATATGGTAATCCCCCCCAAAAAAAAATAAAATAATCACAAAACAAAGCAGGATATAATTGAAACAATGATTCAAAATTTCAATTATCATAATGTAAAATTTTTATTTCGAAAGTAAAATGACCGACAAAGTGAAATTATTGATGAATAAAACTAAAGAAGGAAAAAAAAATTAAAATTAAATTTCAATTATTTCTGTTTCCTTTCTTTTTTTTTTAAATTAATTTTTTCTTCTGTAGTATAACAACACATGCAGTTGAAATGTTTATTCTCATTGTTTGTTTTTTCTTTATATAAAACATAGCATGAAATGAAATTAATTATATGCACATTGAATTTTCTTTTTTATTTCAAATGTGAAATAAAAATGTTATTAATAATAATAATAGTAACAATAATATTAATAATAATAATAATACTTATTATTATCATCATAATGACAATAGAATACTGTAAATAATATTAATTAAATAAAATAAATACATTCCAATAAAATGAATCTTGTTATATTATATTAGTGAATTATCATTATCATCATCATTATTATCTATTTATATTTATTTATTTTCTCTCTTGAATTACGCTTCTACATGAATAATAAACGAAAACAAAAGTGTGTTCATTTGAAGAAAAAAAACACAACATTGTTGAATAGGCGATAATTACATGAATGAAAGAATAATTGTGTGTGAGAGAAAAATAAAATAAAATAAAATGTATCTGTTTTTATAGTTGCTTTAAATAATCTGTTGAAGAGATTTTTTTATTTATTTAGAATAATAAGGTAACAGGTTTATTAGTAATAATAATAATAATAATAATAATAATAATGATAATAATAATAATAGTAATGTATTTGAACGACTTAAATAAAAGATTTAAAATGTAAATTCATCAGACTGAATATGTATACATGATTTTCTGCCAAATGATGTAAATTATTATTCAAAGAGTGTGTGTGTGTTTGTGTGTGTGAGAGAGATCGGCTTATTGCAAATGGGAAGACGGATTTTATGCTTTTCATTTCAATTAATCAGGGAAAAAATTATTCTTTCAAATGAATTAATTATTTGGAGAATCTAAAAATTGTTTTGGATATTTTAAAAAAAGAGAAAAATATATATTGAATTTAACATAATTTATTTATATATTAGTCATAATTTACAAGTTTTTTTTAATTATATTACTTGAAAAAGTAAATAACAGAATATTCGACTAGTCGTGTCCTAAGTGAATGAAGTTGTATATTAAGTTGTATTGTTGTTGACTGAAAACTTTATTTTAAGCTTTCAGTTATCTTTTACACATTGAAATAATAATGAAAGAATCATTGTTAGATCAGCATTAGAAACTTGGAAGCATTGAATGTACGGTGTTGCACACGAACGCTTAACGTCTGAACCACTGAGTTGGCATCCAGTGGTGTTGTGGTGCGCGCTACTTATAAGTAGTATATGACGTGAGTGTCAACGTAATGTCTGGCAGCAGAAGATGGGGAAAGATCAAGAAAGGAAGAGCGGGAACACAATGGAATTTGTATGAAACGCATGAACAGTGAAATGTCAGACAATGGATTGATGTTGGATTGATGTTTTGCAAATTAACGATTTACGATATGGTTTTCCTATTTTACCAATTAACTCTGTAATTTTCGATAAATACGATTCAGGTGCTCTCACCTGTGTTCTCCTTCACTACAGTGTTAATGTCTACCTTTGATCGATCTAAAGAATTTGCACAACCTCACTCGTCTTTGGTAGTTACTGCCTACACTCAACAGAGTTAAACTGCAGAACCTCGAGAATTTCCTTATGAATGACTACATTTTTGATTTTTGAATTAGAGTAAAATGGAGATCGTTGTTTAACATGGAAACCATAGTCGAATAATTGTTAGACCACTATTAGAAACCTAGTAGTACTGGACGGCTATTTTGACCTTGTATGGGACTATGCAGCAGTATGCATCCACTACTCCCGTCACTCGAAGGAATAAAACCTAGAACCTTCGGTCGTGTGCATGAACGCCTAACCTCTACTACTAATAATTTAGGATATATAAGGAGTTAAAATGTAAATACAATCAAAGATAGAATTCGAAATCGAATGAACCCGGGAAATATCTAAAAATGCTACATGCAACATGTTTATTTATTGAACATTGAAAATGTTACAGATGATATCGATTGCAATCTTTAGATATGTAGCTACAATTATTTATATACCATTCACTGACATTCATAGACAGTGATAACAAAAATCAATCGATTCTTCTGAGATTTGCAAACATGTTTGAAATCAAAAAAACTTTGATTCGTTTACTGAACTAAATGATTCATATATTAAAATGTACCAGACAAACGTTGGTAATGTCAAAGAATAGAATCTTTTGTTTTTTTCATCAGAACAATAATCCGATAAAGTAATCTATTTCGATCAATAAAAACCATGCGCAATGGGAAATACAAAGTCGTCATATCGTTTCATTATAGAAACAAGGAAAATCGGTTCGTGAACTAAATATTTATTTTCCTAATTAGTTTATACATTAGACTGTGAAGTATTTTTCTGTCAATAACTGTGTGTTTTCATAAATATTGGTCATTTGATTACACGTGACTAGATGTAATTTTTGAAATAGTTCAATGTTAGCAAGTTAGCTTTCTAAGCTGCACAATTGTTTGTATATATATATAAGCATAGAATTATAGGTCTGTAAATAATGATATGATTTAACAAATAAAAAGGTTGCACATAGATTATTTGAAATTTATATCATTTGGTATATAATTGAAAACTAGGGCGAAGTAGACATAAGGTTGGTTCCGTAACGGAACACTTAAACAGTGTACATTCATGTTAGGTATTCACTGGGAAATGATCTCTGTTGAGAGACTAGATAGTCACTCCTGAGAAGTTTCACAATAAGACTAAATAGTTGTTTATTGGCCTGCGTTTCTCACTGCTCCGTCATCTGGGATCAATACTGTTTTGTTCGTCATTTGATATGCTTGAAACTATTACCAGTTCACATTAGTCGGTAGACGAGAGCAAAGATAAATGATCCAGTGACAAGATAAGTCTACTCTAATCCGACCGTCCCAAGGTCCCACTAAGTAGGAGAAGTCTTGACAAGATGTAGAAAGTGTATTCTACAAGCACCCAGTAAATATCAGGTCTTCACGTACACAAATCGATTTTATTTACACATTATAGAAGCGTCTTTGGGAGAGCCACAAAAATAACGTACTAAAATGACACATCAATCAATGACAGCCAAGGATTTTCCGAGGGGGAAATGTAATCTCACTGTCAACTGATCAGCGCATTCGCGTAAACATAAAATTCAAAATTAGGACTTTTTATCAAGTAAGTTCTGGGAATCTAACATCCCCAACAAATACAGTGTGAATTTTACCTGTAAATTATATATTCACTGCAATATTGATATGATGAATGGTGATCACATATTAATGATATAACTTGAATTAGATATTTGTAAAACGGGAGAATTTGTGAAATTTAAGGAGTATGGAATTATTTTAAAGTTTTCATGTTTATCCCAAAATTATTATAACAAATACCTGTGACAATTTATAACAAATATTCTCAGTGAATAAAGAGACACTCACAATAGAATAAATAATTATGGCGATTTTAATCTTATTTCTAAGAAACTTCCGATGTTTACTATGAGTAAGTAGGTCTCAGTCTGTAACCAAAACAACTCTATTGTTAAATCAATATCAAGTCAATCGTTGAAATTCATTGGGAAATATTTGAAAACATCGCCTTTGTTGTGACTTTAAAAATCAGCATTGAAGAAATGATCTTTTGTTTTGATAGCTAAAAATGTTTCTGCCTCCGACTGTCATGAATCATTTCATTGGGTCATTAATATGCAAGAATAATTAATCATAGCTTAAAAACAAATTTGTTTTCACTTATTAACTATTCATAAATTATGACGAAGTATTTATGTATAAAGCGTGTGAAAAAGTAAATGAAGACAGAGTGATAGTATTTTGTCTCTTTGAAAGACCTAAGATGTTGATTTAGTTTCAAATTGTGATACTTTTGCAATAGATGTTTATTGATCAACTTGAACCAGTTACACCGAATATTTGAATCACTTATATTTGGTTTTAAAATATGATATTACTTACATACTGTGTCAGTAGTGTCAGTTAATTTAGTATTTATTTTCACGGGTGGCGTATCGTGGGCTATAAATACTTAGTAATGCTTCATCATGTTTTGTTGGCTTACTCTCCTTCTCCACTTCCCTTCTCTTTGCTTTTCTGGGTGAGGTCCGCGATAAGAAAGTCACCAATCGTTAGAGACCTTGAACGACATGGCTCAGAATTGCTTGCGATTGAGCAGTTGCATTCATTCATTGTGTTCTCTCAAATTCTAATCTTCTGAATTCCTCAACACTTCTATCTTTCTCTTTCTAAGTTTATCTCACTGAATTGTACATCGCTTTGAGTCCTAATCTTCTCCATTACTTCTAATATCTCTACTATCGCTCCCACTATTGGATTTTAACTGAAAGTTGCGTCTCCGTGCTAATGCGGTTTGGCAACCTGAACGTATGTACTTATGTACGAAGTTCTACGTTGTAACTCACTGACTCTCTTTGCTTTTATGCTTTTTGTTCTCATTTGTATCTGCATGGACGATTGCATGAAATCAACTCATACGAAGGAATTCGTATTCGGCGTTTAATTACCGCCATCGCATCAATGGAGTTAGCCGAAATGTAATGTATGGAAATTAGATGAATGATTTATTGCATAAAATATTCAATCTTTCGTCCGAATTACGGTCAGATTCCGGATTACTAAAGACGTTTTAGCTCAGTGGATAATTTGACGACCGTTCAAAGGTAAAGATAATGGTTCGAGTCAAACTAAACTCACTAACACAGGGATCCAAGTACTTCCAGATGATGAGCCCTTAATAAAACGAGACCTGAGTTGTAAATTCCATCACTAGTTCTATACAAAATATCCTAAATCATTATCCAATTCCTAATCCCATTGGCGATGTACTGCTTTATTGTTGGCATGCTTTATTCCACAAGTTATTGCTAAACTTTAAAATGACATGAAATTCATCTTGGATCTAGTTACCTGTGAACATTAAGGTGTAACTGTGATGAAATGTTTGCACTTACTGTAGAATCGTTTCATTAGTCACTAAATGAAGACGAAACTAGTTTCTCATCCTTCTCTAATCAGCCAGTCAGCTAAGACGTAGAACTTTATACTTGTGTACATCAGTTTAAATTGCCATAACATATTAACATAGATATGTAATTGTCAATTCAAATCTCAAAGTGGTAGAGGCAGTAGAAGTATAAGCAGTAATGTTAAAGATAAGGGTTCGGAGATATTATTCAAGGAGTATCATCCCTCTTTAATGCCTATTAATTATCATAATAAAATAAATGTTTATACATAACATCCACCGATGATAAGTTATCATAAATGGTCAATTATAAAAAGATCAGTGATATCGTGTATCACATATATATGACAATTTTAAAAATTCACTCAATTCATTGAACAATGAAATAGACATTACATAGAATTGAACATGATTGTTTAAAATATTTAAAAAAAATTATTTTCTCTTACCAGGTACATCATTATCAATAAAACCATATTGATCTAAATTGCTAGGATTCACAGGGGTTGATGATGATGACGGTGATGCTGATGCTGATGCTGATAGATGATCTGAATTCTCAACAGTTTGATTGATTGTCATTAATCGTCCAAATGGTTTACGACGACCAATCACTAAACTGGATAATGTGGTATTTGTATTAGGATCAGTTGATGCTGAATTTGAAGTGGTTTGTTTATCAGATGAATGAAATAATTTCGACGGTGTAATTGATGAAGCAATTGTTGAAGGAGAAATAGAATGTTGTCCAGTTGAAGAATATAATTTTTTAATTCCACGTACAAATGAAGAGGATGTGGATAATGATGTGGATGATGGAGGAGAAGCTTCTTTGACAGGTTGGTTACTGCTAGCAATGGTAGTAGTAGTAGTAGTAGTTGTTGTAGTAGTAGTTGTTGTAGTTGTAGTAGTAGTTGAAGCACTGGTTGTTCTGTTCACTGTTCCACTTGTTAATGGATTAGTTGTTTGACATGTAACAGTGATAACTGGTTCATTAGCAGCTGATTTAGCTAAATCATGAAGTCGTATACCACCAGTTTTAAAATTCGTTGACTTTTCATTGACTGAAGGATTATGTTTCAAATGAAATTTCTCAAGATTTTTCTCAGTTCCATGTAATGAAGAAGTAACTGTGATATTAGAACTGAGAGTTTCTTCTATAGTACCACTATCTTTATGAAATGTTTGTTGACTCGGTCGATATGGTGTGTATAATGGTAGAGCGCCGGTAAGCAGAGCTAATGTAATTAAAATTTCAATAACAGTATTAAATTGGAAAAGAAAACTACTTGTTTGTGTATTTTATTCTCGCTGGTTTGTTTTTTTCAAATAAACAGTTATAATCAATGGTAAACATGTATATTGACTCTGTTTATTTACTACTTTCTCCATCTCTAAATCTTACACATTGTCCATCATACTGTCACTCTGTCTGTCATCCATGAACTTGAAAACCAACTCAACTGAGCAACTTCTGTAAACCTAGTGACTAAGGAGAAATGCTTTTTGTCCCTCATGTGACATGTAACATCGTGTATGTTACACGATAAATAAATAATCTAATAAGAAGCTAATATAGTAAAGTTACGAGTTAGTTTGAATGTTATCGGGAATACATGATCAACATCAATAAGACTAGTTTTGTTCAATCTATATGTACAAAATTGTTTCAGTGAACATGGTATTCTCAGCATGCGTAAATAATTTCAACAAGTTTCCCATTTTGTATTGCCAACCACTGAGATATTTCAAAAGAGTAATTTTTTTCTGATACCTTATAGATTGTAAACTAGTTATATATACACATCCGAGCAGATTATATACACTGACTAGGTATAATTGACGTGTTACAATATAGCACAAAAAGGTAGTAACTTGCTAAAATATTTGAATGTTTAGGAAAACAAGTAGCCTATGTGAAAAATCTATTCACTTTATCATGTTCTTGGTATGCTGTCACTCAACCAGCTTGGAATATTCACTATTTTCTTCATGAGTTAGTATAAATCAATTGAGTCCTTTGCGTTTGCCTCTTGTTGTTTCAGTACAGTTCCAGTTATTTGATAGTGAACATACTTTAATACTTATTCTTACTGAACTAGATTTTATGTATGCGAAATGAACGAAATTAATTAGTCATATTTTATTATTTTGATGTTTTCATTAGAATCCAGTAGTGTATGTCATTAAAAAAACATTAATCTTATGCAAGCTCTCTACTCGAACACCACTGGTCGAGGTAGGGCTTATGACGAATTGTCATCGGAATTCTTTACTTCAAGTGGTGTGCGTCATGACTATCCACTCTCTCCATTCCTGTTAAACTTTGTCGTAGACATAGGTATCCCTGAAATATTGCTCGTTTATCCTGGAACCACAGAGTAAGCAAGGCTGAGGTTAGGAAACGAATACTAGGTACGAATGGCAGATCGTTTGATGAAGTAGTGAAACTCCATCAGTTGAGGTGGTTGAGACATGTGTTACGAAGGCCTAACCACCGACTACCTCGACGAGCTATATCTTACGATGTAGGAGCAGGTTGGAAGAAAGCTAGGGGCGGCCAAACCAAAACATGGCAGAAATCCATGAAGTCAATGACAACTGCATTGAGTCATGTTAGATGTTGACTACCTACCTGGTTGGGGTACGCGAGATGAAAGTCACCATTGGGTAGAGACCTTGAACGACATGGCTCAAAATCATTTTCAGTGGCGACGGTGCATCCGCTAACTGTGTTCTCTCAAATTCTAATCTTCAAAATTACTCATCATCTCTATCTTTCTATTTCTAAAGTTATTTCACTGAACTATACTTCCTGAATAAATTCTTTGATCCCCGAAATTCTCTATTCTACTATTTCCACCAGTATTGGATTTGAACTGACAGTTGCGTCTATATGCTAAAGCAATAAGGCAACCTGAACTGACATACGTACCTACGAAGTTCTACGTTGTAACTGACTGACTTAAAATCAAGTGTAAGAAACATGTGTATGGAAGAAAACAAGTTTTAACACTTACATCCTGTAGGTCGAATCTGGGGTGAAACTGATATTGTTGCTGATCTTAATAAACCAGAAGATGATGGAACTGTTGTTGAAGGGACTTTTGCAATACTGATCAAATTGTTATTTATATTACTGTTATTAGTAGCGATTTGAGTAGTATTGTTGTTAGTTCTACCACTAAGTGTAAAACTTGTTGATGAAGAAGTAGTAGCATTGGTGATGTTAGTAGTAATTGCAGTAACATTAGTATTAGTAGCAGTAATAATAGTAGGAGTAGTATTGGCAGCAATACTAGTTGTCATGGTACGAGCATTAGGAAACGGATCAATTTTATTGTACGCATTCATTGTAATATCTGGAACATTATCTACACTGGCACTACAAGTAGATTTAGATCGTTCACAATTCACTAGGGAAATACTACCACGAGCTGTATTCATTCGATTATAATCAGCAATCAATGCTTTGTCATCATTTGATGTAATATGCGCTTTGATCAATTTAATTGGATCATATTGTTCTGATGAACCGAATACTTGAATAACACGATCAATTAATAATTCAACAACTTTTGTTTGACCTTTATTATCCATAAATTCCATCATATTAGCTACTTGAAATCTGTATGTGATGAGTTTAGGAAAAAAAAGATAAGAGGAAAAAAACATATTCTATTGGGAAAGTTTTTTAAAGTTTTTTAATGATCTGAATGTGGCATTAGTCAAGTAGGCGTAGCTCCATAAAATATGATACGTTTACAGTTTGAGTACACAGTCTTTCTTGGGACAACTCCAGGGATTGTGACGGAGTTTGGTTCTCTGAGCTGGATGTTTGGGTTGTGTAAGTTTTATTTTTCTTTTGGACAACATCATCAGGAGAGTCTTCAGATAAAAGTGAAGTATTCGAGTTTCTCCACGTATGACTTATAGTGTTGGCTTCGATCTTGGTGGTTTATTAACCTGCCAATTTCTTCCTCTTATTCTGATTGTATCTCCCTTTGATTTGGTTGTTGATCTTATAAGTATCAATGATTTTTCCGACTGGCTAGCAAATTTAATCAATGTCAGTGTGTTTGTTAATTGCCGATTTATCTGAGTGCTATGCTTCTAAAAATTCTTTAGTGTTCTTCATATTCCCACTATTCAGTATTTCAATATTTATCCAATCGAATGAACGTCCACAGTTGTCCGCATGTATCGTACGTGGATAAAATTGAATACTTCTTTTCTGCCTGACGTTTGTGCTGATAATGATGTTCAGGAGAAGAACAGTGAAATCTCCACAACCAAAACATCTAGCTTAGAGAACGAAACTCCACCACAATTATCCACCTGAGCTATAAATTTTCTCCATCATCTCATAACTGCATGGAACTATATGTCAAGAATTTAGACAGAATTTCAATGGTCCATATATTTAACTCCAATCAATTCAAGGTGTAATAGTCACCTATCGGTAGTGATCGTATTACCCTCAGTAAAGTTAAACTCTATGCGCTGCAGTCTTCTGCTGGAACAAGGAAGGAAGTTGCTAGTAAGTATATTATGCTAATGTTTTTGTCCAGATCGATTTACTGTGCTCAATGCTTACATGTCGAATTCTGGTTAGTCTTTATCCTGTTTAACTATTATCTGTGGAATTAATTCGAACAATTAACGACAGTGTTTTAGCTTTCTTTCTGATGACTTAATCGAATCTATACTGGTGAGAGAGAGAGAGAGAGCTTCTGGTTAAGATTCTGACAATCCTGTCGACTTCAAGTTTAATAATTTATACATAACCCTATACTGTTAACCATATATTTTGACTTATAAATGAGTTTTGATTAAACATCATTGCAATTTGAAGCTTTCTTTTTTTTGTAGATTTATTCTGTGACCTAATAAATAGTCAACAAGAACCAATGACTTGAATAAAACTTCCTGACAAAATGAACACATGAACCTAGCAAATCATATTGTTTAATTTATTCATCAATCTAAGGGGGAAAAAAAGAACATCAAGTAAGTTTATTTAAAGTATGACAATACATGACTAATTAATCTACAATTGACTATTGAATATTATTTCCTTTCTGTTAGTTTGTTTGAATTTGCATAGAATATATGTAAGTTTGAAAGAATTAATCTCATACTGATTGAATGTATGCTTGTCTTGAAAAGATGATGACTGGAGATGATCGATAGGGAAACCGTAGTTACCTCAGTTCTATGTTATCGAAAACACTTCCGGAGTATAGTATACCTAGACTTTTTGAATCAATAAACAACAATTCTAATGAAAGTTCCTGGATGGATACCGTGGTTTTAATTTACTGTAAAGTTTATAGAGGAGAATTACAATGGAATTAAAACTTTCTACAGGATAACCAACATTCTACAAAATGCCTAAGTTAGAATTAGAGGAGAAGATCTCTCTTTTGTGTCTACAAACTAAACTGTATCGATTGTGATGCATACTATATTAGATAGTCTTCTCGTGAAATCTCGACTCATGCCAAAGAATACTTAAGCTACACTTAAAGACCTCCTAATAATCTTGTAAATCTGGAATAATTCCAAATTAAATTGACATTAGCAGTACATGATATTTTCAGTATCCATCAAATCGATATACCAAAATAATCAAAATAATTCAGAAAGGTTTTTTCAATTCTAAAAAGAGTTGCTGAAACATTTCATATAATGCCGACTTCCCCTGTCCTGAACAGGAAACAAGATCTGAATATTCATCTATCCTAGACTGCTTATCCAAATAACCACAATGTTATTTAATTCATTATCGATCAATTTTAAAACCACTAGGAGCACTGGACAGCCTTTTCGCCATTGTTCGGGACTCATCAACAATGAGCATCCACGACTCCAAAAGTAATTCAACTACCTCCACAACCCTATCATGTTAATTCATTAACTACACAGTTAGTTCTACACAAACAGATAAATTGTTTCACTCTGTTTAAACTCTGTTACTTCTTATCACAAATTAGATATTCTTTCTTGCATCCCCCCCCCCCCGCATCACCTTCATACACACAAAAATAACACTTTAAGGTCATATTTGGCAATAACCTTGATCGAAAAATAATGACATGACATTGACATTTTGCAGATCAATTTACGATTTTGAGTGTACTATTTAAAAAAAACGTATTCTAATTTGTTTCCTTTTTATACCATTTGTAGATTTATTCATTTATTTTACACTGAAGCAATAACTTGCATTTATTTGAAAAGAAAAATACAAATTTCTACTAAGTGAATTATCACCAAAATTATAATTATCAATTTCACTGTTCAACACTTCATAAAGAGTTAGTTATAAACTATTTCATATATATGTATATGTATATACGTTGTTATCTAATTGGAACAACAATGTACTGGACATACAAAATCAATATTGACAGTCTGAAAGAACTAAAAGCGTGTGTTATATTAATTACTTAATATTTGTTGATAATTAATAGGTCACAGTGAAAAGTTTCACTCTAATTACTATAGACAAACAGCAATAGAATTATTGATCTCATTATATTGACAAGCCATGATCAATGGAGTTCAAGCGCGTCAGGTAAGAGACCCACTGAAGACAATGAGTGAGATTGTACGATAACTTCCATTAATTAAAGTAAGACATGAACATAGTTGGATGCCGCCAGCTCAATGGTCTAGAGGTTGAGCAGTTGGCGCACAAGGCCGAAGGTAGTGGGTGCGATGCGGATGCACAGTATTGATGGATTCCATACGGAACGGCTATCCTGTGCTCTCAGGTGATCTAATATTGATCAGTTCAATATTTTAGTAATTATTAATGTTTAGCTTGATCATGAGAGCAGTCAGTATATTATAAGTATTTATTGCATATTTTGTGTGATTATGTACATCAACAGTTTACAGCCTCAATCAAATCAATCAGACATATCTGTTCCTAGCATTATCTTAATTGAATTTATTAGTTTCACATCTGAATAATTGTTCAATTCATTCACTTTAATAAAAGTAACATTACTTTTTATTCAGTGTATGTACATCAATATGAAACCGTTTTTTTTTTTGAAAACGTCGTAGAATCTCACCATTCAATGATTAGTCGTTTAAATTATTCGATCATAGTATCGATCATATTTTTTAATTTGTAATAATCCCATAAGAGCATTGATTATTGTACGTTTGATTGTGTGCGTGTGCATTCTTACTCACTTATTACATGTCTAGCCTATTATTCCCTGGCTATAAATACCTAGTCATTGCTTCAGCTCATGGAGGAGAGTTGGCGCACTCGTCTGCTCCAATTCGCTCCGTTTTGCTTGTACGCTTACCATGCTCATGTTTGTCTGCATAAATGAATGCATGAAATAAATTCATCCGCGAAATTGTATTTAGCCTTTTGATTACCACCGTCGCATGAATGGGGTTAGCCTAAGTGGAAAGTAAAATTTATTTCATCACATACTCGATCATTTGTCTTTCACACTGGAGTCCAATCGTGAGCCGCTGAAAGGATTTATTGTATAATTAATCCGAACTGTTTACAAAATTCTACATAATTCATGTTTCCTTGACGTTATCTTTGAATATTGTTTTTTTAAATGATTTTATTTATCGATAAATTTTTGTTGGTATTAGTATTTACACTTAACCATATGTTATTATTATTGTTATCGATTAAAATGTATTTGTCAATTTGATTGGAGAAATTTCTGTCAGGGAATAATTTTAGTTAGAAAACAATTGAAACTAGAAGTCACCAGTTGATTATTTTAGCTACCATGACACTGTATAATATTGAATATCTACGAGTATAGAAAGAAACAGATTCACAACTTTACAGTCTAATATTAGGTGTACAATATTTTGACTAGATTGCTGTTGGGGATGTTAGATCCCCAGAACTCACTTGATAAAAGGTCCTAATTTTGGATTTTGTGTTTTCGAGCATAGGCTGATCAGTTGACACTGAGATTACATTTCCCACACGGAAAATCCTTGACTGTCACTGGTGGACATGTTATTTTAGTACTCAAATTTTGTGGCTCCTTCAAGGACGTTTCTATCATGTATCAATAAACTCGATTTGTATGTTTGTAAGACCTCATATTTACTGGGCGCTTGTAGCATACACTGTCTACGCCATATCAAGACATTTTGATACCTTTAATGGAGGCTTGAGACGCTCGGATTAGAGTAGCCTATCGTGTCACTGGATCATTTGTCTTGCCGTCTAAGGTGAACTCAAAATACTTTCAAGCATATCAGTTGACGAGCATACCAAATACCAAGTTGACAACTGACAAGTTTTGCTGATTATTGTTGTTATTATCATCAATATAGTTATACACAGTTTACATTGCGACTATACAGTAAACAAAATGAAACTGGAATATTAAGATAGATTTAATAACTCACTTCGGTCTTTGACGTAGTACTGTTGGAGCAAACATTGTACCTAAATTGACAGCACCCATTTGATTCTCCGACTGACATTCAGCAACTCTATAAATGATAGAGAATAGAAAATAAAATATTCTTCAAGATTTGTTGATTTTCTATTTTAAAAAATTCTCGTGTCATATGATTTAAGCTTTTTAACCATAAATTACAGTCAGTGTGTGTACCCTGATCAGATGATTGTATAATATCTCAACGAGACCATAAGTAGCATAGTGTCAGTAACTGCTATTAGATTATCTTACAGTTCAGACGCTTAGTTGACCTAGAGTTTACACTCCTCTTTCGGAAATCCTTGACTGTCATTTGTTAGTACTCTATTTTGTGACTCTCCTTAGGATGTCTCTATCACTGCATAAATAAAGCTGAGTTGTGAGCTTAGCAACCTCAACCTTTCTGGTTGCCTGTAGAACACATTTTCTACTCCGTATCAAGACTTCTTGATCTAGTTAGCAGGGCCTGAGACAACGGATTAGAATCGCCTATTGTGTCACTGTCTCGTTGACCTTCGGCGCGCTTATCGAGTAAGGTGTACTCTTAATAGCATTCAAGCAGATCAGTTGACGAGCACATCCGTTTTATAGATTCTTTAAAGTATTATTTATATTGTGCTACGGAATGATAGGCTTTTAATTATTTTCCATTAGTCTTCATAGAACAAAATTATTTGAATAGCATAGTTGCATCATTAAGACAAAATTAACATTATTTTTGAATGCGGATGCCTATTTACTTTTGCTAAAAGTATGTATGATCATCAAACCAAATTGAATTTTGACTAATCTACTGTTGGTTTGCAGACTCACACTGAGAAGATTGGATTGATATACACATTTCGTAAGAAATTTTTAAAATATATACATATATATTTGCATATATTTCAGTTAACAGTGAGAAAAATACAAACCTTGAATAAACAATAATTCTTGTGTATCAAGCCTATATTTTAATTAAATAAAATTCATCAATGAATTTTATTTAGTTATATCAAGCGCTACATCATCAAAGCAACTGTCAACATAATTTATGTATTCCATCTGTTTAAATAATATGCGCTCAATGGAAAAAAATCTAAAGATATATTGTCTCTTTTTTAAATCAACTGAAATTGTACCAGTAAGCCTACATGGTTTTGTAGCATTTACAGGATATATTAGTAGTGATAACTCTTAGCATATATATACTAACTTGTTTCCCCATAAATAAGTGAATGAAATACTCTTATTAGCGTTTCACATCAGTTATTGTTAGACCACCATAAGAAACCTGTCGTACTATGCGACTCTTTGGCAGTGCACAGTCACGACCTCCGACCGCAGGAATCCAATCCAGCACCTTCGGTCTCGCTTATTAAGGCTTCACCTATATACCACTGAGTTGGTAGCATACAATAATGTCTATGTCTAATTTCAATCAATTCACGATATTAAACATCCTCACAGATTGTTTTTACAGTAGTTTCAATCTACACCTGTCAAATTTGAACTGCACTAGTTACGACGTCACATCAGATGTTCGAGAATTTCCTTACGAAGCTAATCATCAGTGAACCTATTTTATGATTTTTCATTATAAAGTTATGGAGATTGTTGTTCTACATTGGAATAGCGAATCAATCAAACCAGTGCTTACAGGTTTCGAACAGTGATCTCACCTCACCCATTTGTCTTCGGTAGTTATTGCCTAAAATCTCTCGAGTTAGACATTAATACCGTTGGATGCCGCCTCCGGTGGTCCAGAGGCTAGACATTCACGCGTAAAACCTAAAGTCCTGGGTTCGAATCCTGCTAGTGGCAGAAGTCGTGGATGCACACTGCTGATGAGTCCTGTACCAGAACGAAACGACCGTCCTTTGCTTACAGGTTCTTAATGGTGGTCTAACAATGATCAGCTGATCTGTTTTAAAGTCATTTCCGTGTATCAGCTCACAGTATCATCCAACTAACGCATCGGATAATGTTTATGTCGCAACTTGATATTTGATGATAATCAGTTAGTCCATTATATATATTGTAGAACCGGACATGAATATGCATCGTTACAGACGATGAAATCAGTAACATTGAAATCAAAATAGTAGAGGTATTATTTTCTGTAAAAAGTAACCACTTTATCAAAATCAAATCAATAAATAGCCTCAGTTTGTATTTATATTCAAAAATAAACCCATCAAACCATTGCTTTGTTTATTTATCAATATATTTATTGAGTCGATAGTATGAAATCAGACATTTTTCATCAATTTTCAACCAAATAATTCATGATAACAAAAATCACTTTGAAATAAATACAAATAACTAAATATGTTGAAATCATATATATTCATTTATTCAATTATCAAAACTACTACTACTACTACCACCATTATTACTACTAATACTACTACTACTAATAATAATAATAGTCATTGTATAAATATAGTAGAAAAAGATTTTCACTAGTCGCTTATTCATTACCTGTGCAAATGATGAAAAATTAATCCAGCTAATTGACGATTACCAGGACTTAAATGATTAATCAATAATTGAAGACGTTTCATCAATTCATCGGTGATATTTGAATCGACTAAATCAAATGCCTAGATTTATTGATATGTATAAGATGAAAAGAAGAACACACAGAAAAAAACAACGGGAAATCATTGGTAAGTTTGAAGATAATTGAAACGAATTATCATGTATTTTGATAAAAAAAAAGATATTTCTTCTTTCTCGGTATAACTTTGCACTGATATATACATATATATCATCACTATAGGGTTGAAGAGATTGATGAGTTTCTTTGAAAGCATGAATCGGTCAACGTTGGATCATCATTATATGCCTGTAAGCGCTGTATGGCCGTTTTGTCCTAGTGAGGGACTCATCAGCAGTGTATATCCACGATTGCCACTCACCGGAATCGAACCTGGAACTCTGGACGGGGCGCACGAACGCCTAACCACTAGACTACTGAGTTAGCTATATCCAGTGGTGTCTAACTTAATTCAATCCATGATATTGAGTAACCTCATATATTGTCTTCTTCAAGCACTGATTCACATCCGACAGGGTTTGGTTTCTGCGAGAATCAGTAGTAGATGTGCACTGATGGTCATTTCCGTATCAGGAAGAAACGGCCGTCCAGAGCTTCCAGGTTTCCAGTTGGTGGTCTAACGCATATATTTCACAAGAAGTAAGAAATCGCTACCAAATAAACAGAATTAAATCACTTCGACACTAGATCAGTAATACATTTTTATATTTAAAAATTTTGGTCGATTCGCAATACAATGTTAAGTCGTTGGAAATAAAATTATTTAACCAACTAACTCTGTTAGAATAAGAATGTGAGTAAAAATGGGAAACCTGATATAATCTCATATAAATGTTTATTATTATTTAGAAAACTAATGAACAAGTGATCAAACAAGTGAGTAGTAGGTTCTTATATGATCTGTTGATTTAGGCACACTACGCAAGAAACTAACTTAAAAAGAAATTTCAAGGAACGTGTATGGTTAATCAAATAAACGATTACGGCAATTTATGAGATTTTACAAAGCTTTCCTGTACACAATTATTTGATTGATTAATATACACCTTAATTGTTTTCAGTGTATGGTCAAATGAGAAGGCTATCTGATGACTGACCATTATTCAGTAGGCAAACAGACTTCCTATTCCATTCTTGTCTTGTCAGTTTACACAGATTAGTGCATATCACATTCAGAAGAACTAGGACACACTCACTGCACATCATAACACCATTTTTCTGTTTGATCCTTAGAAGTATTAAACCAGATTGGAAAACATTTTCTGAATATGTTATGATTTTCAATTTATTCACTGTGTTGATTTCTTTGCTTTTTTTATTTGTCTTCAACAAATAAGATTATAAAAGTGAAGTATTTGTAAAGAAAAAAATACTTTTAAAATTAAACATATGGTTCTTAATTTTTTATAAGCACTTCTATTGTAGTATCGTTTGTTTTTTTTTCTGTAGAAATTCATGTAGAATAACTAGACATTGATCTTCAAGCAGAAATGTTTCTTAAGGAAATTAAGCAAAACAAAGAATCTTGTAAATCTAGGAATATTTTTTGCCAATACACTTTTCACCATAGAGTAATGAAGATTGTTGCCTATTACTGAAATCATGAATCAATCATTGTCAGACCATTTTAGTAGAAACCTGGAAGCAATGAACAGCCGGCGCGTCTTGATATGAGACTCATCAGCAATAGGCAGGATTTGAACATAAAAGAACCTTCAGTCTTTCGCGCGAACGCTAATCAATTCGAAATCATTTATCTGTAGTCACCTTTCATTATAGAACTCAAAGAATACTTGTGAATCTGGATGAATTGTTTCAATTGAATATTGACAACTTTTTAAATATTACACATTATTCAACAAGTGTGAAGTGTGAAGTTTCAATTTTTGTTTTTTCTTCATACGCTACATTTTATGATTGATGATTCCTAATGTTAAAATCAAAATCTAATAAAAAAAATTTCATCTTTCATGCATCATTATTTTCTATTTGAATATAAATTCGTTGCTATTTATTGTAGCTAGCTGGTCAAATCAACAAACATTGATTGAATAGCATACTTTTTTTTATGAAAAGCACCAAAATGAAACAAAACAATTCACACCATGAATGACCTCGATTCAAGTTGATGAGTGTGTGATTGAATTTCGGCAAAACATTTAAAAAAAGATGATCATTCTAATAATCACTGTTTCACTTTGCCTAAGAGCATATATATATATATATATATATGTATAACTAGTGTCATTGAATTATGCAAATAAATATATACATAAAGTTTTAGTAAATAATAAAGTTTACAAACAAATCATTTGGTTGTTTCACGAAATAATGTATTCAGTTGAAGTTATATATATATATATATATATATATATATATATATATATATATCTGTGTAATTTTTTTTAAAAAAACTTAAATTATGTTAAACAAGATGAATAACATGTAGAATAGTTATTGTCAAAAAATGAAATGAAATGAAGCTTGTGAAATGTTGACTGAATTGACCTAGAAAAAAAATGGTTTGATTGATTAGGTGAGGTGATCGGTGAGATTGATTATAGCTGAGCAATAAGTGAAAAGGGAAAAACACTGAATAGTATGTAACTAGTCACTGGTGTGTGTAACATCAATCTCACTGAGAAAAATCAAACACATGGCTTTTAGGCTTTAAGACATAAACTCTGAATATTTAGTTAGTATTCATAGCTTTGGGTTTGATTTATATTGTTAACTGTAGTTAACCTTCCATATCAAATATTTATTATCTAGTAATTCAAATAACCTCTAACAAAACCTTTCATTGTTGTACCATGTCAAAGAAATCAAACATGTTATCCATGATTTTCAAAATACAACCTGTTCGTCTTAAATTCTACATGAAAACCAATCAAACAAACAAACTAACATTGAAGTGACTTCGAATTTCTATTAGTTATTTTCCGCTATCATTGATCAAGTTGATGATTCGTGACTCACTCATCATCTTTTATCATTTCGACAATATGAAGAACTAGATAGTCGTTTAGTCCTAGCAAGCGACTCATCAGCAGTGTGCATTCATGACCCTAGCTCGTGAGACTTGAACCCAGGAACTTTGGTTTTGCACGCCTAGCATCTAGACCAATGAGTTGACAGCATCCACGATGATGCGCAATCTCATCCATTGTCCTCTGTGAGCACTGATTCATACCTGAACAGGGTTGAACTCCACTGGTCAACACTTCACTCTAGAACTCGTACTTAGTCACAACCCTATACTGGAAATTATCATTTGATCACTGCTGATGAGTCCTACACCAGGACGAAATGGCCGTCCAGTGCTTCAAGGTTTCTAATAGCGGCCTAACATTGATCAATTCATAATTTCAAAGAAACTGGATAGTCTCCATAACCCTATGATGAAAAATATGAAATTTGCTAATACTTATGTTTACCACTTGTTTCTATAGTTTCAGTTTTGTTTGACACCTATATATAAGTCTGTCAGATTTACTAATAACCGAAATTTACTATTTTAAGGACTAATTTCAACAATGTTTTGATGAATCTAGTAGGTATCTTATTAGTAAGTTTATAGATAATAAAATGATAATCAAATCCTACTGTTTAATCACTGGAATGACATACATAATAAGTGACTCGAAAAAAAAGTTGAATAAAATTACGTGATTATTTTTGGAAACTTTTTAAGTTGATGAATGTATCTTCAAAGGCAATGACAGAAATTTATTTGTGAGAATCTGTTTATTTTTTTTAGTTACTAAATTCCGAAATGATTTTTATCCATTTCTGATGAATTTAATTCAGGCGCTTTTGTTTTTGAAAGGAATTCAGAAGATAGTTTTTAAGCAGTACGAAAATTTCAGTTTTTTTTTAAAAAGCTTCATTCTTGGCTTAAAATACGTATGTAATTTTGCTTTTGAGGCGTCTATCGTTGATATTTTCAAAGGAGGAAGCAATGTTCCTTTGATAATATCAAATACACTTTACTATAAATAATACTTTGAAATCGTGAATCGATCAGTGTTAGATCATCATGAGAAACCCTGAAGCGTTGGATAGCCGTTTCGTTCTAGAATTGGACTTATCAGCAGTGCACATCCCTGATTCCTGCCTGTCGTAGGATTCGGACTCTGAACCTTCGGTCTTGCGCATAGACGCCTAGCCTCTACATAACGGTGTAAATGTCTCCCTCCAATCAATCCACTGTCTTGCTCAACCTCATTCACTGTTTTCAGTAAGCACTATTTCACAACCGAACAAGATTCAGCTCCACTGGTCATGACTTCTCACTAGAACTCGAAGAAACTTCCTCACAGAGCTACTCACAAATGAGCACATAATAATTTGCATCACACGGTTGTAATGATTGTTGAGTTACGTTGCATTCATGAATCGATCGACCTTGAAACACTTAACGGCCATTTCATCCTGGTATGGGACTCATCAGCAGTGCACATCCTTGTTGTTGTTGTTGTTGACAAGTTTGACTAGATTTCAATCAGTTATTATTCGTGTTAATAGTGAATTTTATATATAATAAATGAGATATGCATTAAGTGTTCCATTGTTCACCTAAAACTACACACACTTTCAATGATCATTGAAAAAAACGATTATCTCAAATTGTTTTAATTGTTTAAACAATTTATCATTAACTACAACAGAATGATGTGCATGAATTAATTACTGATTTTAAAAAAACAAAAATGGTATTGAACATTAATTATTTTGCATGAGAATACATAATTTTTTTTTTCATAAATTATTTCACTTATAAATACATACATTAATACAAGTTTAATTAATCATTTATTTCTAAAAAGGAAACACAAAATGTTTCTGTTAAATTGTCAACATTTTAATTTATTCTATGCAGAATAGTGTAAAGTAATTTTATTATATACCGACTCAAAAGTCCACATTTAACCTGAAAAACTATCCATTTTGAATTCTAGTAATGTAATATTCTTAAGTAATTTTATTTTTTGTCAATATAATTGTTAAGATATTCACCCGATGACCTAAGATAATTGTTTGTAAGTCTAATTCTATTGGGCAATTCCTGTTGGTCATCCTAACTATCAGTGTCACAGAATTCAATGTTGTTTCCTATTTTCGACTTAAGTATATAAATACGCATTATCTGTAACATTTTATGACCCGGACTCGGACCGGGATGCTTATTCTCTTCCAAACTCGGACCTCGTACTTTCTGGGTGCATGTAGAATCCAGGTTCTGCCTCAAATCATGTCTTCTTCTTTTACTCAATGGGTGTTTCGGACATTCGGATCAGAGTAGCCTATCGTGTCGCCGAATCCTTGATCCTCGCTGCTTGTTCTTGTTTTCCGACTAAGATAAACTCATAATAGTTTCAAGCATATCAAAATAACGTATTGACGTGCATACGTAACAATAATGAGTAAATCTACATGTAAAATGCAGAAGAAGCAGAGCTTGTTTGAATAATTGTTATTTATTTAAAATTATGACTTGCTTTAATTTTCCACATTCTTTTTTTATCGGTGAGAATTTTTATTTTTTTTTAATCAGTCTATAAATTTATTTTCGTTACTTTTGTTATTCTTATATGGCAATGTAATTATATTATACATCTGCAGACATAAAAATTTCATCAAAAGTTAATCTTATTTATCGCATCAGTTAAAAATAAGAATAGAAAACGTATAACAGCTGTTTCATTTTAGTTTTAGAGCTCTTTCAATATGTGTACAATCGCATAAAAATAAATACAATAAAATTTTTTAGAATATCTTGTGGAAATCTAAATGACTAAATCTGTTGTGTTTCAAACAGCTGTTCAGTGATCCTTGATTTTTAACGATAATTCAAGTGAGATTCACTCCGTCAGTCAGACAGTCAGTTAAAGAGTAGAACTTTGCACGTACGTACATCTTTTGAAGTTGCCATACCACATTAGCGAAGAAAAGCAATTGTCAGTTCAATTCCCATAGTAGTAGAGGTAGTTGACGTAGAAGTAGTAATCTGAAAGATTAGGGTTTGAAGACATTATTTAAGAAGAATAATCCTGTGAAATAAATTTGAGAAGAGAAAAATGAAGGTCATGAGGAATTCAGAAGATTAGGATTTCTGAAAACAAAAAGAATGGATGCGCTTGCGCTATTGAAAACGATTTTGAGCAGTGTTGTTCAAAGTCTCTAACCATCGGTTACTATTGTCTCATGGACCCCAACCAGGTAGTCTACATCTACCAACATGGCTCAGTCCCGTTTTTAGTAACTTCAAGAATTTGTGCTATGTTTGATCTGGCCGTCCATAGCTTTCTTCCAGCCTACTCCTACATCACAAAACAGCGCTCGTCAAGGCCGTTGGACTTACGTAACACATGTTCCAACCACCTCAACTGATGAAGATGAAGTACTTCATCAATTGATTTGCCATCCTTTCCTCGTAATCTCTTCCTAACAACAGAACAGCTTACTTCGTGTCCCCAGGATATATGATCAATGCATCGAAGACACCTATGATCGAATACCAGTACTCCTATTGGCTATGTATGATGGAACAAACTGCTATGCGGTAGACTCGTCCCTTGGTTAGAAAACGGATTTCTCGCCTATGCCATAAGTAACGTAGGTTGGCAAAAGCTAGTCGAACCTTCGGTATCCGTGATGAGATTTCGTTGTACATCATTCCATCAGGATTGATGAGACTCTTAAGGTAAATGAAGCTGCCAGCACGCTAAACTACTTGACTAATCATGTGAGATTAACCTTCAATAAAGTCTACTAAAAAAGAACGAGTTTCTAGAAGATAAATTTCAAACAAATTATGTATCTATGACACTATCTGAGGTGGTTAATACGGATTAGGCGAAGCAAAAGCAATTGTTAGAACACCGTTACAAACCTGGAAGCGCTGGACGGTATCTTCGTCCTTGTGTAGGACGCATCACTGGTAGTGCGCATCCACGACTCCTGCTACTTGCAGGATTTAATCTCAGGACCTTCGGTCATGCATACGAATGCCTAATCTTTGGATCACTGGGCTGGAATCCAACGGTGTTAATGTCTAACTCTGATCAATCTGGGGATTCTGCACCACCTCACCCATTTGTCTTCGGCGTTTGGGCACAAGACCGAAAGTTGTTGGTTCGAATCCAGCGAGTAGCAGGAGACGTGGTGTGCGCACTATCAGTGTTAAGTCCCATAGCAGGACAAAACGGCCGTCCAGTGCTTCAAGTTTCTAATGGTAGTCTTACAATGATTGATTAATGATTTCAATATGTCAAAAAACACTGATCTCCATAACTCTGAGGAAAAAAATAACAATTGCATAGTGAATACTTTCAATCATTATGAATTAGATTTTAGTCAAATAAAATGAAATCAGTTCTTCAAAGAAGAAAACGTTTTTATCATCTGCTTAGATTAAAATCATAATTTTTATTGTTGAAAGATTATTAGATTAGAGTACGAAAAGATTTGCTATTCTGAACAGAAATGCTATGAAATGAATTCACTGCAATAGTCTGATTTGGTTTATTTTGCTCGAAAAAAAAATTTGTATGATTTATCACACGAAATAAAAGCTTTTACATGTTTTCCTGTTCAATAACTCATGGAAACATTTTTTTTCTTTTTTTTAAAAAAACCCAATAATATCAAGCTATCTAATTAAAAATCCAGTGTACAAATAAATTTATATTGTAAATCTCAGTAAACTTTACTCACCTTTCCAAGTTCAACAAAATTTGGATACAAATTGTATGTGAGTAATGGTTCAGGTAACTATTGAATAAGATAAATAAATTTTAAACAAAAATGACACAATGAACTGTAAAGTAGACATAAATTTATCTTTAGTTGAAATGAAACAATGTGAATAATACTAACAGTAGTGTATTTTGATTTTAACCAGGGTTAGAAAACAACTATCAATGGGATCTACGAGCCGGGTTCCATTATTTCTTTGGACTAACGGTTGGAATTTACCCCCACTTGAGTGTTGACGCCGACATCCAGACTCAAACATAATGACTGTCGCCTCAAAGTGCAATATTTTATTCATTAACTTCAATTTAATTACATTACTTACAAATCCTGCTCACTTAATGACTATGTTAATACAATTCACCTGGGATGCGAGTATATCGATATAAAAGTCATCATCTTAAGTCAATAACATTAACAATTGAATAGATTTTAACAATTTCGTAAAAAAAGAATCCAATTCACAATTATCTAACTTTAAAATTTGAATTAAACAATGTTCATAATGACGAAAAAAAAACATTTCTGTCTGTTTTTCGATTTAGTTATGTAATCAGTCTATGAAGTGTTTATTTGTTTACACAGTAAACATTCAGTGAATCAATGTACATGTCTTTAATGGAATATTCAGTGTTTCGGTTATTATTTTCAACTATAAAAAAAGCAGTTCTGTCATGAACTACATGTCAGTTGGAGAAATATTCAGAATTAAAGAATCGGAATGAATATTCGTTTTTTCATTCTTCTGGAATTTTTTAACAAGGTTAAATCAAAGCAGTTTCATAGATTGAATTCTGAATATACATGTCTTGTAGCGAGCAGTCAACCGTTAGACAAGTGAACTGAAAATCATGCAATGTATATTTTCAACTTTGATTACCTAAAAATTGAAGCAGTATTCAAACCGATGTATAAAACCATATTATGCAACTAATATTATTTATATTAGTATTTATTAACAATGAACAGATAATTTATGTGAACATTTTCAACTTGATGTAAATCCACTTGGATCCCCTCTGGGACTCCGATAAAGGGGAACGTTTTGGCATGGGATTGGTGAGACTAACTCGCTAAAATAACGCTAACCAGCATACTAACATGTTATTAGCAATAGTTTATAGTTTAGAAAGATAGTTTACGGCGATTGTATTTTTAGCTTGTAAAAACTTCATCAAAAAACATCAACTCAAATCGTCAACATAAGCGAATTCAAGTACAGGAAGTAATAAACGGATCATCCTACAATACATAAAAGATATATCGGAGCATACAGCACGACTACTGAGACCATTTTGGAATAGGTGTGACACACAAATCAACAGAATCACTCTAATCAATCCTATGTGTAGACCAAAAGACAAAATGACAAAGGAAGCAAAACCAAATATCAGACTATGATAAACATTACATAGGACAAAGTGGACGACCTTTTCGTCTTCGCTTACGTGAACACCAATTAGCAGTCAAACACCATGACAATTCGTCGCTTATATCAATATATGCGAACAATTATGGACATAGATTCAATTGGAACAATGTGGAATTCCTGGATAGGGGGAGGACAAAGAACACTAGAGAAATTTTAGAAGTTTGACACTCAGGTCAATCAGCAATCAACAAACACATCGACATTGACCCAGTTTATTTTATGGCAACTGTATTTTTGTCATGAATAGATTTCAGCTTGTAAAAACCATTTCAAATGATCAAACTAATTTTTTTTTTAAAAAAACTTCAATATATATATATATATATTGGCACTTACAGCAATCAATTGTGTTTTCACTAGACTAGCCAATGTCAGTGGATGTTCATGACTTAGCAAATCAATATCTTGGTGAATTTGTTCACTATTCACCAATTGATTTGACTGTAGTAAATCCATAAGATTAGAAACTTTTGCTTTCGATGCTGGTACACGATAAATTCCCTATTATTTTTTTTATCAAAAAAGTCAAATAGAAATAAGTTATTACTGATAAAACTAAAATTCATTAGAATGAAAGATTAACATAACAAAACAGGCTAATTTTTCGATTAGATCAGACAGTTAGTTGATTTAAGGATTTATTTTTTTTCAATAACAAAACAAAGTATTTTGCAGAAAAATAAACTGAACTGGAATTGGTTTTTACAAAAATAAAATAAATTGCTTTTTCGGTTTGTTTTTGTACTTGTTACATTGGAATCAGTATAATTGAAATTACATGAAGGAATACACTAATATTCAACTATTTATAACACTTTACAAACATTTTGTACTTTTGTTGCACGATGTTTAGGAATACAACGAATATCCACTGCCATGCGCATTGAATAGCTACTATTTTCCAAGTTTGATGTGGTTGTTTGAACCAAAGGTTCACTTTATTTTATACTTACTAAAGTGATAGATTATTGAGTAGTGTTCTTTGTCATGGAATTTTAATCCTTGATGATGTTGATCTAATTCTGTCATTCAACCAGTAGAAATCTAGGGGCACTGGAGAGCTGTTTAATCTTAGTATGGGAGTGAAGGAGTTACGCACTACAGAAAATGGATCATGGTAGCTCAGTATCGTGTATTGATTCCAAATCGACATTAGTACAGTTAAATGTAGCCAACTCAGTGTTCGAAAGCTCAAGCTTTTGCGTCTGAGACCAAAGGTCTTGGGTTGGATTATTGTTCGTACCGTTATGAATGCCAACTGCTGCGGAGTCCTATGCTAGAACGTAACACAGTCATCCAGTGCTTCCAGCTTTCCAGTGATGTTACAGCATTGATCAGTTCATGATTTCAATGAAACACAACAATCTCCACAACTTCATTTTAAGAAGTGGATTCGCTCTGCTGTATGAAAAGCTATTCCTTTCCAATGAAATACGTTGGAGGATAGTACTAGGTTGCCAATTAGAGATTAACAAAACAGGTGGTCTTTTCTATTAGATCAGACAGTTTTTTTCTTAAGAATATGTAATTTTTTCTATAACAAAGTAAAGTATTACCCAGAAAAATAAACTAAACTAGAATTAGTTTACAAAAATAAAATAAATTGCTTTTTCGGTTTGTTTTTGTATTTTTTTTCTGTTCGCTTACATTTGAATCTGTATAATTGAAATTACATGAAGAAATATACTGATATTCAACTATTTATAGCACCTCACATACATTTTGTACTTTTATTGTACGATGTTTAGGAATGCAATGAATATTCACTGCCATGCGCATTGAATATCTACTATATTTTTAATGTTATATTGTGTTTTGAACAAAATGACAGATTACTGAAATGAAATTTTAATCCTTGGTGATGCTGATCTGATTCTATTACTCAATCATTAACTTAATGTATACTCTTTGTCTTGAAATTGGATAACTACAGATAGTCTGTATGAATTGCTAGGTATGAGATGCCTACTGGCTAACATACATTTAAAAGAGGTGTACTTACAGACTTCAGGGATTAATGTCATTAATGTGGGATTCAGTCGTAGATCATGTAGTTTAGTCACCTGAAGCATAATCATGGAGCTAGTCAAGTGACCAGTGACTTACTGTTGTATATAAATTTATATATACATTGATTATTCACTGACTGTCGACTAATATGTTGTTTGTTTAGTCTGTTGATATAAAGTGTTAGATGCTTCCAATAACGATCTGTTTTCTACACCATGAAGTAAAGTGACATAATCTTTAATATCGTATCGCACAACATTGGAGCCTACTTCAGATACATTCATATTTGTCTACAGAATAATTTAATTCACAGAATAAGTTTAACGATTAGATATAAAAGAATAATAGCATCAGTACTTATTTTATCTACTAATTGTTACAATCTATTAGATGAAAAACTCATTAATTATTTTAGAAAAACCTTATTTCAAAATTGATGCTTTAAAATATCAAAACATCAAAGAGCGAAAAAGCGAACCGAATTAATCTATTTCCCAAAATTCTACATCTAGCTTTGCTTTAAATTCAAAATTTTATTAGTTCTTTACAAATATCACCATTATTTCCATATACAAATTACTGAAACAATAATTTGACCTTTAGAATATATTATATAGTTTAGTGGAAGCAAATACTGGGATTAATTTTTCAGTATTCTTGTTTCCAAGTGAAAATCTCAATTTCATGCTTGTAGTCGTAGAAATCCACATCAGCAGCTGATTTACATTTTTTTGAAATCATGAATCAATCATTGTTGGACAAACATTATTATCCTGGAAGCACTGAACGGTCGCTTCGTCTTGGTATGGGACTCACCGCTGGCAGTGCGCATCCATGACTCCTGCAACTCTTACTTACTTACTTACGCCTGTTACTCCCAATGGAGCATAGGCCGCTCACCAGTTTTCTCCAACCAACTCTGTCCTGGGCTTCCCTCTCCAGTTCTGTCCAATGTTTGTTCATTCCTCTCATATCTTTCTCTATTTCTCGGCGTAGTGTGTTCCTTGGCCTTCCTCTTTTCCTTTTGCCTTCAGGGTTCCATGTGAGGGCTTGTCTCGTGACGCAGTTAGGTGCTTTTCGTAGTGTATGTCCTATCCACTTCCACCGCTTCTTCCTGATTTCCTCCTCCACTGGAATCTGACTTGTTCTCTCCCACAGTTCGTTGTTGCTGATGATGTCTGGCCAACGAATACGAAGTATTTTGCGTAGACAGCTGTTAATAAACACTTGTATCTTCTGAATGATGGCTTTGGTAGTTCTCCATGTTTCCGCTCCATACAGTAGAACTGTCTTGACATTTGTATTGAAAATCCTGATTTTGGTGTTGATTGATATTACTCCTGCAACTCGCAGGTTTCGAATCCAGGACCTATGGCCGGGCAGATGAAGGGCCAGCCTCTGGACAACTGAGGGCGTCCAACTCTAGGGCATTTGTGCGTTTACATAAAATTAATCTTCATACAATAGTATATAAAATAAGAAATAATTCAAAACTTATCTTACATGTGTTGCTAGACCATTTTCTTGTTTTTCAATAGCTGCAATACATCTAGCTACTGGATAACATGCTGCTAAATATTCTCTTTCTAAATTAGCTTCTTGTACAGCTATAGCTTCTAAAGTATCCGTTGAATTGATTGGTGATGCAGATGTATTACTCGGATTATTAGTGATTGAACGTTTACCACGAATTGATTTTTTCGAATCTGGTCGAAATAGATTTGATCCAAACTCAACAATAGTTGATAAAACATTACTACTTGTTGAGACTATACCACTTGCAACACCACAACCACTAAGACTATTATTACTGCTACTACCTGCTCCTGCATTACTATTACTACCACCAACCGTAGTACCAGTACCTGTACTACTTCTTCCAGTTGTATTCGATGGAATATCGATTGTTTCTGTATCAGAATCCGAGTCAGAGTGTAATGAAAAGAGGTTACGATGTGCAGCTATTAGGATGTAATTAGAAGAAAGAACAAATATGTGGATATATAAATATACACATACATAGTTTATAAGAGATAAGTACTTTAAAACGAGGAAAAACAAAAAGCGCATTAGATTCAGAAAAACATTTCCACCTGTTTACTGAAAAGTAACATCTGTGCTTTAATTAGGTTTATGGAAGAAATCAGACTATTCATGAGGCAATCAAACAGTCTGTTAACTATGACAGACAATTATGGTGAAATCACGAATTAATCATTGTTTGACCATCATTAGAAACCTGGAAGCGCTGGATGGCTGTTTCGTCCTAGTATGGGACTCATCAGCAGTACGCATAGAAGACCATTGCTTGATGGAATCAAACTCAGGATCTTAGGTCTCGTGTGCGAATGCCTAACCTCCAGACCACTGAGCCGGCGACATCCAAAAATGTTCATGGCTAATTTTAAACAATCCAAGATATTGCGCAACCTCACCTAACAATAATGATTCATGACTTTAATGAAACTCAATAATCTTCGCAATTATATGTTTGGAAGGAACAAATCATAGCGAATATGAAATTTAAATTTACATCTATTAAAAAATTAGTAACAAAGTTTTTTATAGTGCTAGTTGTGATATTTTTATGACATTAATTATTGTAACATTTCTTACCGACAATCAGTTAAATAAATCGAATCTTTTGTTATAACTAAGTGGTCTAGAGATTAGGCGTTCGCGCGCAAGACCGAAAGTCCTGGGTTCGAATCCTGCAAGGACGAAACAGCCATCCAGTGCTTCCAGGTTTCTAATGGTAGCCAAACAATGATTGATTCGTGATTTCAAATATATAACTACGTGAGTAATGCAGCGATTGTGATTTATGAATTATGCGTTCTGGTGGTTTGATATTTTTTAATAGTATCATAATGCATCATAATAATAATTAAAATACTATTGATATTACATATTCAATTACGTTGTTTTAATTGAAGATTTCAAAATTGCGAGACTTTGTATGGTCTAATGCTTATAATCAAAAGAATCAATAGCATTTAAGAATATTTGTAAAAGGAGTGGTCATGTCAGAGTTTGGCTCAAGATAGTTGGTGGGTGGACAATGTTTAATTAGAAGTAATAGGCTTAAGTAAGGAAGTAAGTCTTGTTTATGTGCCTTATAAGCAGTGATGGATAGTGATTAGTAGTAAAAACCTGGATGTATGCTTGTCTGGATTCATTGGTTGAGTGGATTAGGCAATGGTTTTCGAAGCAAAAGTCACTCGGTTTGAGTCCCTGATTGAACATGAACTCTGGGATGTACGTACATCTGGTGACGAGTCTCAAACAGCATGAAACATTAAATCTCGATTCCAACGAAAATTGAATTCCATTTGTTTCTTCTAAATTTTAAATCAATAACTGACATTTCAGAACAACTTTTCAGACTGCTTTGTATTTTTTGAGTATTGTTTCTGATATTTAAGTGAGAATGTAATTTAATGTTTAAAACAGCTGACTTATTAATTTATTTTAACGAGCTGTTTAGCAACACATACAGAAACGTGCGGTCATTTATAGTCTATGTATGGCTGTTTCTTTTCTTACGAAGAAAATCGATTCACTGTTTCAACAGTATTCCCTGAAAGATCCTATAATGGTTTAAGAGAAGTGTGAATATTCCGAATCAATCAATATTTACTCTTTTATTGTTTATACGCTTTTTAGATTTTTGAACATCTATCATCAAATAAACAATATTTGCTCGAAAATTGTTTTTTTTTTCTGTTTTCAAACAAGACAACATTAGTTACAGTTTAATTGATCATTCATTGCCACGAAGAGTTCGATACTTCAGAAGAAACGGCTGTTCATTGCTGCCAGGTTTCTAATAGAGATCTTACAATAATTGATTCCTGATTTCAATTTTGCAGCTTACTTGATTTGTTTACATTAACACGTCGGTGACGTAATTCAGTATGCTATTTGTATGTATATATCGTTTTACATGTAAAACCATACAATCAACTTTATTTGATAAGGTTAGTTTATAATATGTGGTTGTGGAGATTGTTGCGTTACTTTTTAAAACCATGAATCGGTAAATGTTAGACCAACATTAGAAACCTGAAACTGCTGGACAGTCTTTAAGTCCTGGTTTAGGGACTCATCAAGACTGTGCATCCAGAACTTCTGCAACCCACAGGATTCGAACCCAGAACCTTCGAGCCTAAGCACACACACCTAACCTCTGGACCTTTGAGTTGGTGTTGATATTTAACTTTATATTTTCAAAAAATAAAATAAATAAATAAATAAATCTATCGATCAAAATACACCAAACAACATCAATAAGTTTATAGAATAAATCAACTTACAAAATATATCTTGATTAGAATCACCGGAATCTTTACCTAAACGACTTGTTAATCGACTAGCATCCAATCTAAAATGAAAACAAATTGTATATTGCGAATAATTACGAGCATTTATTGACATAACATTGATATCAAGTACATGAAAAATGATGGTTGGTCTCTTTTCATACAGCTTATATATAAAAGTAATTTCAATTTATCACAACATTTGAAAATTACGTCCAGTGAATCATTTTATTCATTTTACGAGTAGCAGCAAAATATTTCTACAAAGATTTACATGGGAAAGTTTAAATATATATAGCCACGAATACTAGATCACGACAATGGTGAATACTGAAGAATTACATATGTATATATGTAACTCATGAAATTTATTTAAGAGTCAAATATTATTAATTGCATTTAGACCAGAGTAATAACATCTATATCTAATTTGATAGATTTATTTGTTGTAGACTTGAAAAAGATTCCATAAGCATGTGATAGTTACCAGTAGTTCACTGGACTTTATCTGATTCAATGGACAGCTGATAAATTTTAACAGTTTAAAATCAAAAAAAAAAAAAACACTGTTCCTATATTCGAAAAAAAGAAGCACTGTATTATTATTACTGCGTGAGATTTGACAATTTTTTTTTTCTTGTAGTAGAATGTAATATAACAAGATAAGAAAAAATTAATTTAACTAACATATGGTGAGTGTATTCGATTCAATTCCAGTGTAGTAATCATATATATATGTTGTATGTAAGAGACAAAAGACTTCATGTGAATCAGTCAAAATTAAATAAAAGCATAACACTATCCTATGGTGAAAGATGAATTTTGAGTGGTTTTTCTTGTTTAAAAACGTCTTACCATCCTAAAGAGTTAAATGTTGAATACGAGACAATATGGTAATGTTGTGTGCAGAAAAAGGATTTTGACGAAAAAACTACCTGTTTAAGAATTTTGATTTTTAAACTGTTATTCAGGGCGTTTTATACAGATTTTTGTGGTGTTAGTTAATTTGCTTTATATATTACAAATAATGAATAGTTAAGTATTTGACTTAATTACTTACGGTAATTAGACACAGCAATACGATGCGTGAATTACTCAAGCTTTATTAGTAATACTAAAATCGTACAAGAATTAGTAACTGAAGCTATCATATTTTCTCTTAGTTCTTACCATTGTGTGACTAAATATCACTGATTTTAGTTCTGTAACTCTTTTTTCCTGATTGATCAAAGTTAGACATAAATGCTGTTGGATGCCGGATGGCTCAGCGGCCCAGAGGTTAGCGGTTGCTCGCAAGAATGAAAGTCCAAAGTTCGAATCCCACGAGTGGCAGGAGTCGTGGATCCGCACTGCCGATGAGTCGCATAGTAGGACGAAACGACGGTTCAGCGTCTACAGGTTTCTAATGGTGGTCTAACAATGGTTGCTTTATCATTTCAATGTGTAAAAATATTAACCTTCACAAGTCTAATTGAAAATAGTCTTTGCTTGAGTCATAATCATGTTTTCGCTACTGTATAAAGGTATATAGTTGTACTATTCCGTTATACTCTAGTTATACTATTAAGGATACCAAGTTTTCTTACAAATCTTCTTTTTCCCATATTGACAGCTAAATGTTAAAATGTTCTCTGCTAGCTACTGTTATCAAATTACTCCACAGAGCGAATAGTATTAAAGTGGCTTGATTGTTCTTTATTCTTCTCGGAGTGTGTGTTCATACTGAACTGAAGACTAACACAGTGCTTCGACTATTATATGAGATTAAGAGTATCAAGATGATTTAAAACTTAAGTAAAACAGCTTTAAATTTAAAGAATGAGTAGGTTTTCATTACGATAGGACTTAATACTATGTTTTAAGAATGCCTAATGTCCTACGACCTCGTCAAGTTGTGTTTTGCGGTGTAGGAGTAGGTTGGAAGAAAGCTAGGGGCGGTCGAACCAAAATATGACATGAATCCATGAAGTCACTGACAACTGGATCGAGTCATCTTGATAAATGTTGACTCTCTGGTTGGGGTCCGCAATATGCTAGTAATCGATGGTTAGAGACCTTGAGTGACATGGCTCAAAACCGTTTACAGTGGCAAGTGTGCATCCATTCTTAGTATTCTCTCAATACCTAATCCTCTAGATTGTTCGCCACCTTTATCTTTCTTTTCCCAAATTTATTTCACTAGATTATACTTCTTGAATAGTATATTCGGACCGTGATCTTTCCGATTACTGCTAATACTTCTATAATAGCTCTACTATTATGGGAGTTGAATTGACAATTACGCCTCTTTGCTAATATGGTATGTCAACTTGAACTGATGCACGTACGTATGAAGTTCTATGTTGTAAATGACTGACTGATATGTCTTCTAAATTAAATTAATTATGTAATGATTATTTCCATTTAAGTTTTCATGATTGATCAGTTTATTGCATCATTAAATTTATTGTTCAATGACGCAGAATCTATTTCTTTTTCTTTCTGTCTACTGTCTAACAGACATTTACATCATCTTTATTTAGATAAGTGGTGTTATTGTTTCTTTTTGTTTCTAATAGAAATAAGCAAATTATGCGCACAATCCGAGAACATTGAAATACAAACAAAATAAATCATGATTAAGAGCGACACCAATCAAAAAAGAGTAATTATTGTAGGAAACATATGTGCTCTACGTAAATGAATTGTATGCTTTGAACAAGAAAAAAAAAATTAGATGAATATGCTGTATTTGAAAAATGATAAAATAAGATGGTAATTATAAGAATCTACTTTTATTTAAATCTGTGGTGGTATATATATATATATATATATATATATATATATATATATATATATATATATATATATATATATCAGAGATCCTTAATGCACACACAATCTTGTCTAAACATAGAAATTGCTGATGACATCAGATTTAAAAATAAAATTTTGGAAAAAAAGAATCGATCTCAATATTATTTTTAAAAAAGTAATTCAGTTATGAATAAATTTAATTAGTTATTACTAAAAATCAACAGTAAGAACAAATGTAAAATAGATATAATTATATATTAGTTTATATAGAGTGGATGAGATGTGGCTAGCAGTGGAATTCAGAACATGCACTTTGTCCTTTTTGAGGCTTGTCAGTTAGATGTTCCTACATCGTACAATGAAAATCAACTATGAGATTCGGGTACATCTAGCTGAAGAGTCCTAAAAAGGACGAAACGCATTTTTTGGATTCCACTGCTAGCCACATTCTATCCATCCTATATGACCTTGTATCCTAACGGTTATATCTAAGTAGTCCACATATGATGCTCATAGGCCAACAAAGACTGATCAAATTTCAACCAAAGTATTAACAGTGGGATAATTCAAATAATGTATAAATGAAACAAAACGTCGATTTAATTCCATTTACAATTACTTTGAAGAGTTAGATTAATTGTCAGTCGGCTTAACTTTTGGATCTCTCTCTATTTTAAAGTGAACAGTCTGGTAGAATGGAACAAAAGTGATATATGAGTTACATTGAATAAACAGTTTCTTAAAACCATGAACTAGTCAATGTTAGACCAGCCTTGGAAACCGTGGAACACTAGATAGCCCTTAAGTTCTAGTATGCAACTCAACTCAACTGGCCAGCGGCCAGTATTCTCTAGTCAACTATTTCCTGGGACATGTTTTTCAGTTTCATCCAACTGCTGTTCATTCTTCTTATGTCTATCTCCATTCCTCGGCTTATTGAGTTTTCTAGGTCTTCCTGTTTTCCTTTGGCCTTCAGAAGTGCAAGTGAGGGCTTGTTATGTGATGTAATTAGGTGCTTCCCTCAACGTGTCCAGCGTTTCTTCCTGATTTCTTCTTCTACCAAAATCCGGTTTGTTATATTCCACTTTTAATTGTTGCTGATGATGTCTGGACAATTGATCCTCGGTATGTTGCGTAGACAAATGTTAATAAACATCTGTACCTTATGAATGATGGCTTTTGTAGTTTTCCAAGTGTCCACTCTATAGAGTAGAATTGTACTAAAATTTGTATTGAAAATTCTGAATTTCATGTTCTTCAGTTGTAGAAATACTGCTCTGGCTTTGCCAATCCGCTCCATCAATGATGCAGCCCAGATAATTTATACAAACCATTACACACAGAAAATATATAAATTCATGTTTATCAAAAAATCCAAAGTTTAAAAATATAATTCCTATTAAGGCTCTTCTAAGAATAACTATTTAATTCGGGAAAAGTCTCATTTTTGTAAACGTTCTATACAAATTTGAACTGACTGTCATAATGCTGATTAGATGAAACTAGTATATCGATAGTTATTGAACATGATTCAATATAAGGGATAATTTCAATTGTAAAATTATCGAAACTAAAAGCCAATGAACGATTGCAGTCATTAGGTATAGTGCTATTCAACAATGAGGAATTATAAACCACATAACCATTAGACCTTTTTAAACGATATTTAACCTGGAATTCCGTGATAATAGAACAAGTTGGAGTACTGTCGTTAATTATCCAAATTTCAGGGATCATAAATCCTGAGTTTCTTACTTTTGACTGCTCAGAAGTGTGTCAATGCTCTTCATAAATTATCTCACAATGTAACTGGCCAGCGCTCTTAAGTTTTACAACAATTGTTTCAGAATACATTACATTCATGAAATAAACTACTCTATGTTAAATTTTATATCAACGTACAATTTGAAACCTTTACATCTTGAAACAAAAAAGAAAATTGTTCACAGAAAAAGGGAGAAATAATTTTTCTCATTGAATGAACATACTTTGATTCATGAAATCCATCGAAATGATATTTCTCGGGAACAAATTCCGTGCCTTTTTGAATATGCAATTCAACTAATGCACGATAATCACTACACGGTACATAATCTTGATAAGCATTTGCAATTATTTCATACTGATAAGGTATGAAAAAAATATATATCACAAAGAGACAGAGAGAGAGGAAGAGAGAACAATTGAAATCATAAATCAAACATATGTGCAATTTATAAAAAAAAATAAGAATAACAATCTGTCATGATATTTATTGTTGTTGTTGAATAATAACTAAACATCATTGAAATCATTAGTTGAACAGTCTTATGCTAACATAGAAGAATTGAAGGCACTGGATGAATTATATGTCCTAACATAAAACTCCTCATCTATGTTGCCTCACAAAGAAATTACACAATGGTCTCGCGCTCGAATGCTAAACCTCAGAACCATCTGGGCCAGCATCCAATGGTCTTAATGCTTAATTTCAATCAATCCATCTTCTGTTGTCTCAGTTTACATAGTTGAATTACGTTGGTCCAAGGTTTCTTTTGAAAACTTTGGGAATTTCTTTTCGAAGCCAATCACCAATTGTAGGACATAATAATATCAGTATAGGTTTGTGGGAAAATTTATGAATTTAACCCAAAAATCTTCATAACCTTATACTAGCGGAGTGAAAATGCTTAATTCAAATGAAGTTAAGATTGATCCGATAAACAGTCACAATAAAATATTGAGTATTGTTATTCTGAATTACCGGATGATTGGGAAATTTTATTAGAAAATGATTATTGGCTGATCGAGTAGTGGTAAGCTTGTGAACTGTCATATAACGTGATAAAATTATTCTGAACATTCTACAAGTAACACAACAAGCAAACATAAAACTTTGGTAAGACTGGAAATCCTATCTTCTTTTATATTTCAAACAACTTATTCGTTATTGTAATCGGAAAGCAACCTTAATTAGGTAAACTTTTAAGACTACAAGCACTGGACATTTGTTGCATCTTAGTGTGAGACTCCTAGCAGAGCATACAATTAAACCTACTGGTGATCAAACTCGGAACTTTTATGACTCTCATCAACAGTGTAACCGCAGAACTGGCCTCTAGATGTTGATACGTTTCACTCTAATCAACGACCAATATTGAGTAATTAGCTTTTGTTGTGTTCAATGAGCAACTGCCTCACATTGTGTACAGTCGAATCTCACTAGTCATAAATTCTCTTAAGAACTCATCAATTACTTTTTTTCCAAAGTTTATCTAACTTGGGTCGCTTTATGATCATAATCACGATGAACAATGTCAACAAGCCTTATATGTATATATATATATATATCGATACTCATCATTAGTTGACAATTCGAATTTCAGATTTCGTAATATTTTAATTGCTGTAGTTGAAAACAAATGAATAAAATCTGATTTTTTCGATTTCATTCATCATACAAAAGTTTAACAGACTTACTTGTTTTATCATCAATGAACGACTTGTATATAAATGATTTAATAATTCCGCCAAAGAATCTTTAACAACTTCATCACTTTTTGTTATAGTCAAACGTGTATCACATAATATTTCAATCTGAAATTTATAAAATAAGTTAAAACATATAAATTTAGGGAAATAATATAAATGTTATTGTTTCAGTAGTAATAATTATATTTATAATAGTTTTATTGTTATGCTCGTCAATTGATATGCTTGAAACTATTACGAGTTCACCTTAGGCGGTAAATGAGAGCGAAGACAAATGATCCAATGACACGATAAGGTTACTCTGATCCGATCATCCGAAGCCCCACTAAGTAGAAGAAGAAGTTTTGATAAGGTGTAGAAAGTGTATTCTACAAGCACCCAGTAAACATCAGGTCTTCAAGCACACAAATTGAGTTTATTTATCCATGACAGAAATGTCCTTCGGAGAGTCACAAAAATAGCATTCTAAAATAATACACTAACCAATAACAGTCAAGGATTTTCTCTGTGATAAATGTAATCTCAAGGTCAACTGATCAGCCCATGTGCGAAAGCATAAAATCCAAATTATCAAGTGAGTTCTTGGGATCTAACGCCCGCAACAATTATTGATCAATTGATGTTCAGTAATTTGTCAGCAATAATAATAATAATAAATTTAAACAACATTTTTTATTGACTATTGAACACAATACAAAACATAGTGACTCGTTTTCACTCATTAAGCTAATAATATTTTAAGATAATATTTACGGCACAAAATATGTCTATGATAATACATAATAAACTGATAATAAGATAAGTAGTTAGTAGAATTCTTTCTTTCTTTTTCATTATAAGGTTTATACTTAGGTCAGTGTGATGAATTCGACTCAATGATTTTAATAGTAATAATTCTATACTTATTTAAAAAAAGGAGAAGTTATCACGTATAACAGATTTGTGGATAGATGGCATTCAAAAAAATGAAATCGACTATCAAAAAAAATTACGATTATGCTCAATAATCGGTAGTATAAAATTTAAACGAATTTGTAGTGTGTGTATTGAAATATTGAGCCCACATGACTTGTCCGAGCCTTCAAACAGATTAAGTAAATTTTACTTTTGTTCGCACCTCTTTTGACATGGTCAATCGTTCGCTTATAACCTTGGTTGTTTTTACTAGAGTGCGGACGTGCATACTTACTTCGCTTATTACAAGTCTGGCTTGTTATTGCCTGACTATGAATACTTAGTCATACCTCCTCACATTCAGTCGGCTAGCTCGACTCCTTCACTTTGCTTTCCTGGTACGCCTTTTATTCTCGTGTCTAACAGAATCCGCATTCGGCTTCTTATTACCGCCGTCGCACAAACGGGGTTCACCTAAGTATGATATACGGAAATGAAAGGGAATATTTATTTCAGAGTATACTTAATCTTTCGTATAAAATGAAGTCAGATTATGGGCCACTGAATTGGTGAGCTCTAGTTCAATCCCAACGCAGTTATTAGTAAACCACGTTTGAATGAGGAAATTGTTTACCAATAGCAATTCATCATTTAGAGGCAATTGCTGAGAGGCATCAGATTTTATGGATTCGTCAAGCGAACTGCACCAACAATCATGAGGCAGCCAAAACTGTTTGTGAGATTTGAAGTAGCGTTACTGAGTGTCGAAATGTAATACGTTACCCACTAGAATTGTGACACTCACCCGACAATAGTATGGTGTTCCCTTTGGAAAACCAGCATCTTCAGCGATGCTGCCTTCCCACAATTAAGGAAGGGGTTAGAAATGGTGAACACTAAAAATGTCACACCTCACCTTACCTCACGGATTTTCATCCGTCGTGGTAAGGCTTTTTAAAAAGATCGGGGTTACCACTTTACAAACTTCCCATAAAAAGGTCGTACGTGACCGGCCTCAACAGGTTATTCTTCGGTCTCTGCGATTTCCTGTTACCGTTTCTCAAGAACTACCCTCCCACTGTGTTGGCACCTGGGAAGTGACAACCACCCGTAAAAGCACATGATACCGAATTCGGCACAATATAGTCTTCAGAATTCCTCATCATATTTATCCTTCTCCATCTAAATTGATTTCACTGGATTATACTTCTTGAATAATATTTTCAAATCATAATCTTCTGCATTACCGCGAATACGTCTACTATCTCTACTACCATATGATTTGAACTGACAACTGCGTCTCTGTGCTAACGTGGTATGGCAATTCGAACTGATGTACATACGTACGAAGGTCTACATTATGACTGACTGACTGATTGATTTACTGTGACACTCACGTCCTCTTTAGTATGGAAATATTTATATTGTTAAACCTATTTATTAACCTAATCATTGTTGTACAATAGAGGCTGAAATTTTTTCCTATTCTTGAACCTTGTACAATATTTTTGTTTTTTGCTCTCCAATTTCGGTCTCGATGCGTATTGAAACAAAAAAATTTGAATTTCTAGCAATAAATATGTTAATAGATTATGTAATCACTTGTTGTTTTTTGTTTTGTGCAGAGATATTTTTTCACACTTTTGCATATAAATCAACACGCACATATTGATTGAAGTATATCTAACTACATTAAATATACACTGTGAACAAATCCATTAGGTTGAATTTATTTATAACTAAGTGAAAACAAAAATGTAGACTGATCGGAACAAAAAAACCAGATAACCAGATAACATCAACAAATTATTCTGATAACACAATAAAGTTGATAAGAATGAGAGAAAAAAACGTTTTCTGTCAGGGTGCTAAGAATAATTTATGAAACCAAAAAGAAGAAAAAAAAAGTGATCAGAGATCAACCGTTTGTCATTTCAATATTTTTAAACACACAAATAAAGAATACAACACAATGACAGTTCCTATTCAGTAACTGTAGTTAACCTATGCAATAGTGTAATACAGATTACAGACTGTTTCGTAGTCGAAAAAACTATTCCAAACTGCATAAAGAGTGGAGAAAATTTCAGTTTTTTTTTGAACTAGACATTTAGCTGTTAACATTTTTGTCTAGTTTAATTGATGTAATGGCATCGTTTATAATCTTTGCACAACAGCCAGTTAATCAGCTGATGAATCGCACACTAGGACGAAACGATTGTCTAGTGTTTGCGGGTTTCTAGTGGCAGTCGAATATTGATCGATTCATAATTTCTAGAAAAAAGCAGCTCAACAATCTCCACAACCCTATCATAGCGATGGTCAATAGAATATTATTTTATTTCTAATCTTGATCAAATTCTATTAGTTTCAGTAGTGACTTGATGAAATATGACAAAATGCGATGCTGCTTTGAATCGTATGAATTACATTATATTTTTTTAGATCACATCACAAAATCCTATACTTCACATTGTGTTTTAATTAAAGTTCACATATCTGTATACATCTTGATGACACTGATTTCCAGGCATTTGATCAAGCAGACAAGTTCATCATTATATTTCCTAATTTTGTATAAGATACTCTCACACCTAGTTGATACAGTTGATATTATCGAAAGATATGAACATTTAAAAGATATCTATCAAATATCATCTCTAATACCATATGTATTTAAAATATTACTTCCTATACACGATTAAAACCATATTAATCTAGTAAAACAATTTTAAACCTTGCATTTAGAAATGGTTTCCATAAGTTACTTTTTTACGACTAGTTACAAAAAAATCAATTTCAAACCGCAAACTTTAATTTAACATGTATATTTTTAGGCAACTTCAACTGGAGCCCCCCTGGCCAGTGCAGAGCCCAGGTAAAGGTGGAGAGTTAGGCATGGAGTTATCAATCCCATCCGGTGGAAACCCAACTCGCCAAAAAAATCGCTAGCCAGAACGATAATTCGCTGGTTGGTGGCCTATGCTCTATCAGAGGCAACAGGCGTAAGTCGGTATATCAGTAAGTAACATTTTTAGGCAATCATTACATATAATGAAATACTTCTTGAACTTGAACTTATGACTGCAGTTTACTTTTAAAAATTAGGTGACTATTTTAATGAAATAACCTATTTTCAAACTATAATATACACTTGTATTTCTCGATCAATATTCTCAATGTAATCAATGAGAATAGTGAAATTATTGTGCAAAACTCAAAAATCTTTATACATAGTTTTTATCGTCAGTTCCTTTATTCTGCTGCTAATTTTGTAGTCGAATATAAGACAAGATAGGTATGTCAAGATATAGTTAAGTGCCAGCTGTTAACAAATATATCTTTTCTTCTGTGTTGTATATTTCTAAGGTCTAAGTGAGAGAGAGTAACAAAGTTATGAGGAAGTAATTACTAACTAACCAATCAATCTCTTCAAGACAGAATGAAAAATTATCATTTTAATAAGTAATCTAAAGTATCATTTGGAATTGATTCTTTTTAAAATATCTCATCATTAGATAAGGTTAAATTATCAAATCTACTATGGATTCTAGTAGTAAATAAACTGTGCATACAAAATTATTTAGTTGACGACATGTCGCAATCGCTCACTTAAAGTCTAAGACATATTTACTCTTGAATTATAAGGATAGGTAAAGACAGATAATTTCTATCAAATCTTTGTCGTGGTTGTGTATTTTTGTTAAGTTCTATAATAATTTAAAACAACTGTTAGGTGCTTCTTCGTTGAATATAGTTGTCTAAGGCGAAATCGGACTGAAATACGAGATGTCATAACAAATTGAAAATATTGAAATCATAAATCAATCATTGTTAGGCCACCATGAAGAACTTGGAAACACTGGACGGCCGTCTCGTCCTTGTACAGCACTCATCAGCAGTGAGCATGCACGACTCCTGCACCTCGCAGGATTCGAACCCAGGACCTTCGATCTTGAGAGCGAATGCCTAACCTCTGGACCACTCGGCTGATATTCAACGGTGTTAATGTTTAGTGCTTCCAGGTTTCTAATGCTGGTCTAACAATGATTGACTGATTATTACAATTTGTAACATACACTAATCTCCATAAATCTAATCGAAAAATTGAAAATTGTCCTACATTGTAATGGAAACATTGAAACTAAATAAAAATTCAAAATCCATTTTATTTCCGAATAAGGAATTATTAATAAAATGTATATGATTCTCAATCGAAATCATATTTAAATCATAAACTAAACAATATTAGACTAACACTGAAATCTTGTAATGCCGTAAACGGATGTTTCGTTATATTATAGTACTTCTCAACAACAAACATTTACGACTCCTACATTCCGGTAAACAAATCGAGGAACTTTAATCTCGCGCACACAAACGCTCAACCTCTGAATTAATTATTTAAATAAAATGCACACAATCGACACAACTTCTTACTGACAATCGATTCAAATAATTACAAAAGTAACTTTTGTCAGATGGTAGGAAAAAACAAATTAAACATGAAGGCATTTTGAAAATCATAAATGGTCAATGGATGGATAGAGGTTTTCATTAATTGACCAAACTTTGAATAAGTAAATGTTAAGTATGACAAAGTGATTGCACAGAAACATTCAAACAAAGTCTACAAGTGTCGAATATCAACAGAATAATTATCTTCTGTGAATACATTTATACATGCTGTGTTCGGACTATTTCAATGTTGGTTCGTTAGATGATACAAAATGATAGTTGATGTATTGTTGTATTTTTAGATGATATAGAGATCATTGTATGATATAAGATAGAGTGGAGTCGTATTTTAATGAATATTTCTCAACTATTCTTCAGCTAAATCGAGAATATGACAAAATAAAAATTCATTTTATAGATTGATTTATGGTTTTATCAACTAATCAAATGAGTTATAGTGTGGATGACCATTAACTTTTGTTTAGAGTAATATTATTATGAATTGAAAGAAATATGTACTAGCACTAGCTTAAAATATTCAAACCTCTGATACAGTTAGGTGTTTTTGATTTAACAACCAATGAAACAATCCATCAGTACAACTACAGAATCAACAACAAAAAATATCAAACTCAGAAGAAGTGAACTATAATCTATAACATTGAAAACCAACGTATCAAGAAAGGTAAATGTTACGTTAACACGTCATTTTGTATGCTTCAACTATTACGAGTCTACCTTATTCGGAAAACGAGAGCGAGGATCGATGATGCGGCAACACGACGATCTACTCTAATCCGAACGTCCTAACGAACCCCCCCCCCACTGAGTAGAAGAAGAAGACTTGATATGAAGTAGAAAATGTATTCTACCAGCACCCAGGAAATATGAGGTCCGAGTTCAGAAGAGGCTAAGGATTTCGAATTAAGGACCCGAGCACTAAAACGTCACAAATAATGTATATTTAAAAAGCTAAGCCGAATAGGAAACAACATTGAAGTATGTGACACTGATGGTTAGGACCATCTATAGGAAACACCATTTGAAGTGACATTGATAGTTAGGACGGCCAATAAGAATTGACCAATAGAATTAGACTTACAAATAATACTCTTAGGATATTTAGTGAATATCCTAACAGTAAAACAAGCGATGTATTTTTAAATAAATCAAGACGAAATTGAAGATAAGAGGTGAATTTTAACTCCTCGTCGTTACTGATTTCAAGTTACATAATTTTAAGATATGCCATTTGACAGGTAGTTCGTTTTTTACGCCTAGACCAGTTGGGTCAATCGAATTCAGTCTAATGCAGTGTAAACCTCTGAAGACCAGTAAATCAAAGTGAGACATTGTAACCGATTTACCTACCGGTCAACAGAATCAACAAAATAAATCAGACATTGGAAATTATTTCAACGAAAACAAAATAAGATTTATAGCGATTTAATATTTTGATATAATTATTTTTGCATTACGGGGCTGTGAAGATTGTTAAGTTACACATTTTTGAAACCATGAATCGATCAATGTTAGACCACCGTTACAAACCTGGAAGCACTGGACTGAGGCCGTTTCGTCCTGGTATGGGACTCCTCATGGTTTCAAAAAACGTGTAACTTAACAATCTTCACAACCGCGTAATGCAAATTACCTGTCCTCACTAGTGACTAGCTTCGTGAGGAATCTTCTCCGAGTTCTAGTGGGAAGACGTGACCAGTGAAGTTCAACCTGTTCGGGTGTAGACAGTTACTACCGAAGACTGTGTATGAGGTTGCGCAACTCCGTGAATTGATCGAGTTAGAAAATAACACCGTTAGATGCCGCCGGCTCAGTGGTCCGATGGTAAGGCGTCCACCTACTAATACCGAAGGTCCTGGGTTCGAATCCTGCGGGATGCAGAAGTCGTGGATGCGCACTCCTGTGGAGTCCCATACCAGGACGAAACGGCCGTCCAGTGCTTCCAGGTTTCTAACTGACCGATTCATGGTTTCAAAAAATGTATAATTATTCTTGTTTCAAATCAATAATTAACAAAAACCGGATACCGTGAATAAAATCATAAATTTGCAATTCAAATAAGTTGTACATATCATTTTTCAATATGTATAGTTGAAATTGCCGAAATCCTAAATCGATCATTGTTAGACCACCATTACAGACCTGGTAGCACTAGACGGCCGTTTCGTCCCAGTATAGGACTTTTTGGCAGTGCATATCCACGACTCCTGCCACCCGCGAGCGAACGCCGAAACTTTTGGAATGTTTTCCTGTAATTTTATTTTATTTTATTGCCTAAAGACGACCTGTAACATACCTACTGGTCTATGTATACACTCACTGAATTACTCTAATCAAAAGAATTCATGTTTATTGTAGCTTAGAAAAATTTAAATTGTCTTGATGATTTTTTTTTAATAAGTCATATTTGTTATCTTATCATTTACAGAAAAAAAAATGAATTACAAGAATGTGACAACTTTAGATTAGATTATTTCTTTTAAGAACATTGATAAGTTCAACATTATCTAAACAGGTGAAATCTTTTAGTAGATAACTAATCTACATGTGTAATTTTTGTTTTCTTGAAAAATTTGTAAATAGCTCTACAGGTGTTAGATAATGATTGATAAAAGTGTAAAGTTTTATATATATATATATATATATATATATATATATATATATATGTACATGCATGAACCAATCAATGTTAGATCGTTATTAGAAACCTGGATCACTGGATAGCCGTTTCGCCCTGTCATGAGGCTCATCAGCGGTGCGTATCTACGACTCTCACAGCTCGCGGGATTAGGAACTTCAGTCTTGCTCTCGATCGCTTAACCTCTGCAACACTGAGCCAGCATCCAACGGTGTTATTTTCTAACTCTGATCAATATGCAGATTTTGCGCAACCTCACCCATTTGTCTTTGGCAGTTACTGCCTACATACGACAGGGTCGAAATCCACTGGTCACGTCTTCTCACTAGAACTCCGAGAATTTCCTCACAATGCTTACAACTAATGAGCCTATGTACGATTTTTCAATTAGAGTTATGGAGATTAGTGTTTTTACACATTGAAATCATCAATCAATCATGGTTAAACAGGCATTAGAAACCTGAATGATCTGGATGGTCATTTCATCCTGGTATAGGACTCATCAGCAGTGATTATCCACAACTGCCACAACTGGCAGGATTCGAACCTGAGAGCTTCGGTCTTGCGCGCAACTGCCTAACGTCTGGAACCGGTGTTCTACGGTGTTAATGTCTAACTTCGATCCACTACTCTTCACTAATCTATTAAACCAGTCAAAATATTATTTTTCTTCCCAGTTGTAACTAATTACACAATCGATTTTTATTGTTATTGTTTTCAAAGAAATTGGAAAAACAAAAGGTTGTCTGAGATTCATCAAATTTGACCACAGTACAATTTATGTTAATGTAGAATACACTAATTATTGAACGGTCAGTAATTGGAAAAAGTTAGTATTTCTTTCAATCGTCCATATTAGTTTATTGATGATTATATTTGGGGAAGGCGTTAAATAATCAGTATTGAATATAAATACCTTGTTGAACTCTACAGTTTGGGGAAAAAATCTGTAGGACCGATTATTCAAAATGAAGTCCATCGATCAGCTTGAGAGCTTTAATGAATATCTAATTTTTTTGTGATAATATCTCATTAAATAAATTTATCGTTAATATTTCGGCCCAGTGGTTCAGAGGTTAGGCCTTCGTGCGCAAAACCGAAGGTTCTGGGTTCAAATCCAGCGAGGATTTCTCTGTTACAGATTTCACTTCAGTTGTTAAAATTTTTCTAACATTACAATTTAAATAAAGTTGATCATGGAAAATATTTTTTAAAAAAAGATACTTAAACAAAACAAAACAATTTATTTCTTTCTAAAACTATACACCCTCTAATTTACTTTGCTTTTTTCCAATTCACATAAACGATGATTTGCAATGTCTACAGCTTCACGATAAGCATACATCAGCTCAATTTCCTGTTAGAAATAAAAAAAAAGGAGAAAAGTGAGAAAAAATAAAGCGTTGCAAGTGAGTACTGATCATGATGACAGTGATTAGAATTTTTTCTTAACAGTTAGGATAGTTAACATTCATTATTGCTGATGAGTCCCATACCAGGACAAAACGGACGAGCTTCTAGGTTTCTTATAGTGGTCTAACAATGATTGATTGATGATTTAAAATGTGTAATAACATTTATTAACCGGTTCATAATTGATCCCTAAATTGTACACAATACATCATGTGATTGGTTGTTGTTTATCAGTTGGCTTGGATATTTAAGTCACCTTATAAGCTTCGATTGATGGTATCATCATTTTTTGTTATCCGAATAATTTCGCCTTACAAGTTGACCACCTTTCATGATTTTGAGAGAACATCACATCTCTAATCATCTATAACAATCTACAAATGACTTCTATGAATATGATAATATCTCGACTTGTCAGGTAAAAATAAAACAACAGTGTAGCTTAAAAATTAAACCCCTTGATAAAAACATAATACTGTTGTTCGCGGCATCTACTGCTTGAATGAGGGCTAAATATTGAAGACATATTGAACAGTGCTACAAATTCACCAATGCACATTTGATCCTGACTAGTTATAATTAACCATGAATTAAAAGTGAACGTTCAGCTGGAGTAAATAACGAAATTGATGTTACGATCAAATGTATATAAAAAATATAAGTGTTACATAATCATTGTTTAATTTTTCTCCATAAATTGAGTATGACAAGTTAAAATTGAAGGAATGGCAACAGATTTTTCAACAAGAAGGACCTGGAAATAATGAGGAAACTGGTATTACCTAGCGTTTTTGATTCTATGTCACGCAGCTCCACACAATCTTAGGTATTTTTGTTAGAGGGGTTAGATCCCCAGAATTCACTTGGAAAAAGGTCCTAATTTTGTAATTTATTTTTCTGAAATTTTGAATTTTTTGTTTTCGAGCATAAGATGCTTAGTTGACCTTCAGCCTTCATTACCCACTCGGAAAATCCGTGACTGTTAGTCACTGCTTGATGGAATATATTACCGCGCTATTTTGTGGCTCTCCCAAGGGCGTTGCTATCATTGTGTAAATAAGCCTGATTTGTGTGTTTAGCAACCTCAGTCTTTATGGATGCCTGAAGAATACATTCTCTACACCTTATCAAGACTTCTTGATCCAGTTAGCAGGGCCTGGAACAATGGTATTAGAATAGCTTATCGTGTCACTGCATTATTGATCTGCGCTCCGTTTACCGAGTGAGTGAACTCGTAACACTTTCAAGTATATCAGTTTTGATCAGCTATCTATGTTACGATTGACTTCCCATAAGACTGATAAGATCTGAGTCTGTTGACAAAAGTCTTTCTTTATCTTGATCGAATTCCATTTATCGATTCACTCTATAGTTCAGATAAAACTTAATGATGAGTGCCAGATAACGCTAAACTAACTTCCATTCTTTTCTGTCAACCGCTTACTACCTACCAGGTTGAAATGTTTTTTTTTAACCATTGGTTAATGAATGCGAGCCATTACTATGATTACCATAAGTATTAATAGCGGTGTCATCATTTACCTTTTTATCATTATCACCTAATTGTTTTTCTAATCGTTCAACTTTTGCTCTTTGTTTTGCTACTTGATTTGATGTAGTAGAAGTAGTAGTAGTAGTATTAGTAGTTGATGATGACGATGAGGTTGCATTTAATTCACCAATACTTGAATCATTCATTATATCTTGTGCTAGATTTGCACTACTTCCAACAGTTGAATTCATTAGACTGGATGTATTTGAATTGCCCGATAAACCTTGAAATAAAAAAAAGTAATTTATTATAATAATAATATTAATAATAATAATTCACCTGATATATTAGTTTGCATAGGTGGCATTATTGTTGTTGTTGATGAAAATGATGATGATGGTGTTGTTCCAACTGACTGACTGGATGTTGATAATGAAACTGCTGATGATTGTACAAGTGAAGCAGATAATTCATTTAGAAAATTTTGTGCTGTAGCTAATTCTTCACGTAGTTTAACACCAGCTTGACAACGTTGATAATAAGCGGTTTTTGTTTTGAATAAACTATTCTCAGCATCTAGCATACGTTTTACATCAGTTTTCCATTTATCTTTAAGAAATTTTCTTGTTCTTTCAAATAAAGTACGTTGACGTGTTAATACCTAAAAGATAGTGTAAAATGAGGGGATAAGTTATGTCTCGAGCCATTTCGTAAATACATATATAAACTCCACTTGGAGCCCTTCTAGGGTTATTACCGGTCCCAAAGTCGGATCGGACCCCACTATGTAGAGATCCAATCAGCTGAAAAAAACGATAGCCAGAAAAGTAATTCGTTGGTCGTCAGCCTGCACTCCATTAGGGGTAACAGGCATAAGTAAGTAAGTAAGTAAGTAATATATCAACAGAACATACATTATTAGTATTGATAGACGATGAATGCATAACATAGTGAATTAAGCTACGTTACAACATCAACTCAGTTGTCTGAATGTTAAATGGTCATTTAGAGGCCTGATAATATTAGGTTCTGTCTCAAGCGAAATTGATAAAGTGTGATCTTGTGAAGTCCTACCTTTTGAATTGAGCTCTGTCTGAAGCTTCATGGGTTTTGTTTACTTATCGTGTGTCAGGACTTTTATACTTAAAGTATGTTTTCAGCTCTTAGTTCAAAGTGATCTGATGAGAATGTTGAAAATAAATATTTTTTCTCAAATGGTTTACATAAATGAAGTGCCTAACTAGCGTGAAAATATTCTACAAAACTTATATAAAACTTTTTTAGATTTAAAAGTCCTTTGATTTAGTGTGTCATCCAGTCTCAATTAGCAAGGGTAATTTTACTGCCAACGTCTAAACACTTCAGTGTGAACAGAACAGCTCAGTCCTATGACGCAACCACATAGGTACCTAACACCTAAGTCCATGATAGTTTGTATTGATTCTATTGCAAATAGTTCAATCAGCTTTGATATACAAATATGCATCTTGTATGAATGGTTTTCAAGTAATTATTAAATTACAGATTTATCTAGCAGATACTTTCCACACAGAATGAAAATACACACAGCCTGAATTCCAACATTCAGCTATATATCATCTAATTCATGTTAAATCATTTTCTATTCACTGATTGAATCATTTCATAAAATACATTGAATCTATTTTGATAGAAACGTTTTCGTAATCCGTAAAAAAAACAATACTGTAATTACATTACATGGTTGTGAAGATTGTTTAGTTACACATTTGAAATCATGAATCGATCGAAGTTAGACCACCAGTGGATGTGCACTGCTGATGAGTCCCATACCAGGACAAAACGGACGGGCTTCCAGGTTTCTAATATTGGTCCAACATTAATTGATTCAAGATTTCAAATGTGTAACTTAACAACCTTCACAACCCCATAATGCAATTACCTGTGCTAACTAAGTAATAGCTCCGTGAGGAATCTTCTCCGAGTTCTAGTGTGAAGTCGTGACTAATGAAGTTCAACCTGTCCGGGTGCAGACAGTAACTGCCGAAGACAGTGAATGCGGTTGCGGAACTCCGTGAATCGGTTGAAGTTAGACATTAACGCGGTTAGACACCGGCTTAGTGGTCTAGAGGTTAGGCAATCGTGGGTGCTCAGTACCGATGAGTCTCATACCGGGACGAAACAGCCGTCCAGTGCTTCCCGGTTTCTAATGGTGGCTTAACATTGATCGAATCATGGTTTTAAATGAATACTATGATAGTGTGTTTTCAAAGCAATTGAACAAATAACACTTAGTTATCAATTAACCAATTATTTATTAATGAAGCTTCTTAAAGACACAAATATACATATACAAAGTGTTTTCACTGTAAAGTCAAACGTGATTTCATCAAATCTATGTACATTGATCTAAAATATGGACAAAATGACTAGTTAATAATATATATATATATATATATATATATATATATATATGTATTTTTTTCTTTAAACAAATTGACGTTTATGCATAACAATGACAAAACAACAAGTGACATTTATCGAATTTTTTGTTTAAAGTAAATTGATCATTGAACAGTATTGGTTCAATTTATTCGATTCGATTCTATTCTTATTATTTTTTTTCAAATATGCTTCCTTAGATTGGAATATTTTCGATTATATAACGAATGATATGAAACAAGTGAACTATTCAAAAATATCATATATATATATATATTTAGATCATTAAATAGCCTCATAATGCATACTGTACACATACAAAATGGTGATATAATATGTGTGGACTTAGTTTAAGCAACCAGTTGAATTTTTCACAGTACATGGATCAGTATAAATGTTTGTTTGTTTGTGGAAAAAAGATATGTTCCGTCCTTAGTTGAAAGAAAAGAAAATACCGAGTGAAAACAAACAATATTCTAACCTTTATATACATATATATATATACATAAACATTCTAACAAATTAAAGGAAAAATTAATAAGCTTCTCCTTTTTTTATTTTTCCTCTAAAGTAACATTCAAATGAAAAAAAACTAAGTTAGCACAGAGAAATATGCAATTGTATATTCCATTTGCATCAGTGAAGAAAGTGAGGGAGAGAGAGAGTGTGAGGGTGAAAGATGAATACACCTGAATGAAAATGATTATGTTAACAATAAAAAGTGTATATGTGTTTATATATATACATATATATCAGAGAAAAAACTAATTCACATAGGATAAGGTTATATGTATATATATATATATATATATATATATATATATAGGCGTGTGCTAAGCATACAATACTTATTAGCAAAAATCCCTTAACCAGCACTAACATTTGTCATTGGCGAAGAGGGTTAATCTGGGTTTTTTTCTTAAAAACTAATCAATAAAGGCAACTAGCGTAGATATTTATATCGAAAGATATAGGTTTCTGCTAATATATTACATTCTGTCCATCTGTTCACAGAATAACCAGAGTGAATCTGTATATACATATATATATATATATATATATATATACATACTGACAACGATAATGCTAACTAATACAAGTAACTAATAACAAATAGGCAAACAGTCATGTAACACAGAATTCAACATAAAGACTATATTTCAGTGTATATAATAATCATAATAATAATAAGTTGTAGTACTATTTTCAAAATTAGCTACTATATATATATATTTATTAGGTTTACATGTAAATATAAACATGCACAGATCTGCACATATTTAACCAGAAATGTTATTTAACAGAAAAAAAGAAAGGATAAGCAGTAAGACAGTATAAAATATTTCAACAGAGAAATAAGAGGAAAGTAATGAAGATTATGTATATATATATATATCTATACACGTATAGTGAGAGAGAGAGAGAGGATGTGTTGGAATGGTTAACAGATAAATAGACGAATAGGTATAAGAATAGTGAAAATGGTTATTTGCGATCAATATTTTGTTTGAATGTAGCGAACAGAAATTCTATAGGCATAGAACTATAATTCTTGTTATTAGTAAAGGCATTAAATATAGTAGTATTTTTGGTAATAGTAGTTAGTCTTAGTAGTAGTAGTAATTGTTGCGTTTATAGTAGAAGTGTGTTAGCGAAAAAGTGAATATCTATTCACCTGTCAAAGTTAAACTTCACAAGTTCAACTGAGTGAAACAATATGCATTGTAGGATTGTGGAGATTGTTGAGTTATTTTTTGAAGTCATAAATCGATCAATGTGAGATCATCATTAAAAAACCTAGAAGCGCTGGACGGCCGTATAGTCCGGGTATGGGATTCATCAGTAGTGCACATACACGATGCATGCTACTATATCGTTAATAATTATGAATCAAATGGCTTTTTGTAGCAACATTCATCAGTTACAACGTTTAATTTTAAAAAGTAGATCAAAGATTTCTCTGATAATGACAGTTTTACAATCTCAGCATATTTTTTCATTGAGTTTTCGGTATTTCATATAGAATAAACAGTTGAAAAAAATTAATCGATTCAAAATAAAATTTATCTTTCAGTCTGCTTATTTACTAATTAATCAGACTATATTAAATGACAATAATAAATGCTATTCTGTAAATGTTTATATATTTTCATTTCTGACATATTGTTGTGATCAACTAGAAACGGAAGAATTTATATGACACATATTTGAATGTATGCAAAAATTGTTCTATTAAAAAATGCTATGCGTTTCAAGTCAGTCGATGTTTTGATCAGTGTTAGGTGAAATTTCATTCATTAATCGTAATCAGTTAGAGTCAGTTGTATTAGAGATTGGCTGATTACCTACACAAGACTAGAGAAATCGGCCACTTATTATCGTTAACTGATTGGAGTTAGACATATACACATTTTCTGACCACGGCTTAGTGGTGTAAGCATTAGGCATTCTAGTGTTAAACTGCAAGTTTTGAGTTTGGTTCCTTGATAAAGAGGTAATGGATGTGCAATGTTGAGTGGTTTCATGCTAAGATGAAACTGTCATTCAATGATTCCAAGTTTCTAATAGCTTTCTAAATTAGTTTAGTTCGAATTCTTGACAGAATATTTTATTTAGTGAATGGGAGGGAATCGTTTTTACAACAATATATATATATATATATATATATATATATATATATATATATATATATATATATATATATATATATATATATATTGTATGTTGTCAGATGTTGCTAAATCTTACAAAGTGAGTGAAATATTTTAAAAATAATAACTACTGATTACTCAGATTTTGTACGCATTTTTTCATATCTATGTTTATAAGACTAATGAAAATAAACATTCAAAATTATATATGATTACTGAGTGTTGGGTAGTTGGGATTATTTTATTTGTCAGTAATATATTACATAAAATGATGAGCGATATTTAACTAAATAATGTAATGTAATTGATATTTGCTGGTCAAGCTTGAAATATTATTCTGTGGACAGGAAAACACTATGAAGGCTTCTTCTAAACTACGGCGTGCCTGAAAAGATAGTCAACATCACTTGGAATTCTTATGATGGATTGAACCGCAAAATCGTTCACGGAGGTCAGCTGACAGACTCGTTCGAGGTGAAGATCAGTGTCAGGAAAGGTTGCTTACTCTCACCCTTTCTCTTCCTCCTGGTGATCGACTGGATTATGAAGACATCAACATCTGGAGGGAAGCAAGGTATTCAATGGACTGATAGGACGCAGATAAGACGATTTGAACCTGGCTCTTCTATTGCACACGCAACAACAAATGCAAGAGAAGACGACCAGTGTAGCAGCAGCCTCAGCAGCAATAGGTCTCAACATACATAAAGGGAAAAGTGAGATTCTACGATAAAACAAAACATGCACCAACCAAATCATTCTTGATGGAGATTCTTTGGAGGGGGTTAACACTTTTACATATCTGGGCAGCATCATCGACAATCAAGGTGGATCCGATGAAGATGTGAAGGCGTGGGTCGGCAAAGCAACGACTGCATTTCTACAACTGAAAAATATCTGGAACTCCAAACAAATATCAATCAACACCGAAATCGGGATTTTCAACACAAATGTCAAAATAGTTCTACTGTATGGAGTGGAAACTTGAACTACGAAAGGCATCATCCTGAAGATACAAGTATTCATTACCGGTTGTCTACGCAAAATACTTTGCATTCGTTGGCCAAACACTGTCAGCAACAACTTCTGTGGGAGAGAACAAACGAGATTCCAATGGAGGAGGAAATCAGGAAGAAGTGGTGGAAGTGGATAGGACACACACTACGGAAAGCACCTAACTGCGTGACAAGACAAGCCCTCACATGGAACCCTGAAGGTCAAAGGAAAAGAGAAGGCCAAGCAACACATTTCGCCGAGAAATAGAAAAAGATATGAGAAGAATGGACAATAACTGGAAATAACAGGAAAGGGAAGCCGAGGACAGAGTTGGTTGGAGAAAACTGGTGAGCAGCCTATGCTCCATTGAGGTTAACTGGCGTAAGTAAATAAGTGCGGCTTTTCTCCAAAAAGCCAATGAAAGCATCCTCTAATTTAGCAAATTCCTGTTCAGTTCAAAATTGAATGGTCATCATTTTTTTAAAAATATACTCGTATGGAACAGTCCAAAAGCGAATAAATATACAATAATTAATTTAAATTGATTGAAGTTAGACATTAACACCATTCGATACCTACTCAGTGGTCCAGAGGTTAAGCGTTCGCACACAAGACCGAAGGCCTGGTTTCGAATCCTGCGAGGTTCAGGAGTCACAGAAGCGCACTACTGATGAGTGCCATACCAGGACAAAACGGCTTTTCAGTGCTTCTATGTTTCTGGTGTTGGTCTAACATTGGTCGATTCATGATTTAAAATCAATCAGTTTTCTTAATTTTCAAATAAGTTAATCTTGGTTACATTTAGGTAAAATTCAAGGCTATTTTAACATATCCAGCCCAAAACAACATAAGTCTTTATTGAGATGATTTAAAACAACAAACTAAGAGAAGCATTGAAACCAATAAACACACAAAGATGGTTATATATATTCATGCTTTAAATTCGCTGAATATTAGCTTACATTCTCTATTGAAGCCCTTATATTTCGATTGTAATTTAATCAAGGAAATGTTTTTTCACTCATCTAACATTTATGCGCACCGACTTCTTGGTTGAGCTGTCTTCTAAATATTTTAGTTCCTTTTTAAACATGATAGCTGTTATGGAGTTAGGGAGATTGTTGTTTATTACTGAAATCATGAATTGGTCATTGATAAAGCATCATTAGAAACCTGGAAGCACTGGATGGCCGTTTAGTCCTGCTATGGGACTCATCATGATTTCAGTAATAAACAACAATCTCGATAACTCTATAATAAAAAATTGTACATTCTGCTCTTTAGTGGCCACCTTCACAAGGAAATTCTAAGAGGGGAATTCAACCCCGTCGAGTGTAAGCAGTAACTAACGAAGACAGTCGATGACGTTGCTCAAAAACCCTTAGATTGATCAGAGTTGAACAGTGACACCGCTGGATGGCAGACTACTGATCCAGAGGTAAAATTTTCGCTCGCAAGGCCTAAGGCTCTAGGTTCGAATCCTGCGAGGAGCAGGAGTCTTAAATGCGCGCTGATGCGTAGCACAGTAGGACGAAACGATCATCCAGTGTTTTGAGGCTTCTAAAGATGGACTAACAATGACTGATTCGTGATTTCAGTAAGAGCTCTTATAATTTCTTCTGAATAACATTGATTGCATTCTATCAAGTTTCAGATGAATTCATCAGGCTTTGATAGGAACTCAAACAATTTGTTTGCCTTCTTCAACATTGATTCTACTTGTAGTTTATTTTTTATTTTTAGTAATAAAACTTTAGCTTTATATATCTTCACATTTAATTGGAAAGTTATAAGACTTATTGAGTTCACTTTGCCTTGTATTTTGTACTTAGTATCAAAAAGTACTTCTACAATCTTTTGGCTAGTTGTTCAGAAATATATCCATATGTAAACAACATGAATGTTCATTATTTATCGATATTGATTTCATGAGATTAAATTAATGAAACCTTAAATAAAACAATATCACAAATCTAATCAGTATGCTTTTTCTTATGGAATTGGTGTAAGATTTCGATTATAAAAAATTTTAAATTGGAAATCATTTTGTAAGGGATTTTGTGAAATGCATAAAAGTACACAATGAAAATATATAACAACAACAACAACATATAGCCAATTAGGACACTTACAGTTAATTAAATTAATTGTTGATAAGTAAGTTAGTATGTTAATTATGAAAACAATCTTAAAACATTAATTGATTTATGATTTTAATGAAGCTCAATAATCTCCACAACTAAATAATGATAATTATTATGCGCTCACTAGTGACTAGATTCACGAGGAAATTCTCAGAGTTCTAGTGAGAATCCATGACCAGTGAAGTCAAACTCTCATTGAAAACAAAAGATGAGGTGGTAAATTATGGTGGATTGTTGACTGAAGTTAGACACTGACACCAGTGGATGCCTCCAACTCAGTGGTTTAACAGTTAAGCGTTCACACATGAGACCAAAGGTTCTAGGTTGGATTGTCGCTTGTGGGTGTCTTGGAGTTGCAGTGCTGATGAGTCTCATACTAGGACAAAACTGCCATCCAGTGCTTCCAGGTTTCTAAAGGTGATCTAACAATGATCGACTCGTGATCTCAAAAGTTTCAGAAGGAAAAACGCTGGCAAAAGTTTGCCAGCTAGTTCTACTATCATTGACTAGTTTTTTTTAGATTATCAAGTTTACAAATGAGATTTACATTTCAATTTTAAGTTGTTAACTGATGTTAGCAAAGAAGTGTTAATAGAAACTAATAACCAAACAGTTGTATTTTTCACGTTTTCTTAACTTTTGGATAATACTTTTGAAGAAACACTTTTCGAATTAAAAATATGCAACTGTATACTATTGGTTTGAGATGTGATACATGTTTTATCAATTGATTTATATCAACGTTTAACAATGTTTATTCTTATGAATTTCAGTCTGTTTTGTAGGCAAAACGTTTTTTTGTATTAAAAGTTATTTTATTGAAATCATGAATCCATCAATGCTATACCAATATCAGAAACCTGGAAACAATGGATGTCAGTCTCATGCAGATATGACATTCGACAGGAGTGCGCATCCACGACTCCTCTGACTTGAAGGATTCAAATCTACGGTCCTCGGTCTTGCTCGTGAACATCTGATCTCTGGACCAATAGATTGGCATCTAACGGTGTTGTCTCACTGGTGGATAGTACTGTGAGCAAGTTTCCCCGAGTCCTAGTGCGAAGTCATGACCAGTGTAGTTGAGCGCTATTCTGGTGTGAGGCACTGTTCACCGAAGACAGTGAATAAGATTGTGCAAGACTGTTGATTGATCGAAGTTATTCATTAAAACCGTTGAATGCTGGTTTAGTGGACCAGAAGTTAGCCATTCGCGCACCACCTCGAAGGTTCTGGGTTCGAACCCTACAAGTGGAAGAAGTTGTGGATGTCTGCTGTTGATGAGTCCCATACCAGGACGAAACAGCAATCTAGTGTTTCCAGGTTTATTTCTACTAGTTGTGCAACATTGATTGATTCATGATTTCAAAAACTAACTCAACAATCTCCACAATTCTATCATGCAAATTAAAAGTTACCACATAGTACTTTTGTTAACATAAATCAATGGAAATCACGTAGCAAATTGTTGACATTCCATTTTGATTATATATATATATATATATATATATATATATATATATATATATATATATATATATATATATATATATATATGATAACAAATGTCCATTTCAAAAACAGAAAGAATAATAGTTACATTTCTGTAAAAAAAGGAAAAACTCTATTTTTTGACTTAATTTGTTCACTGTACATGGAATGTTTGTTTCTTCAGTTTTATAGACAGGTAGAGAGATAGATATATGTTGTCTAATATATGAGAGTATTCAGTTTTTGTCGAAGTGGATAATAAAAGTTTCAATGAAAATATGTGTAATTTTTTGGAATGTTTGTACAAAAAAAATAATGATACATTTTATACTTATTAACTTCTCCTGAAGCTCCGTTAGGGCTACTGCTGAACCCAAAGCCGGATAAAAAAGGAGGGTTGGGTGTGAGTTTGGTGACCTCATCCCGTTGAAAAACTAACTCGCTAACCAGAAAAAAAAGCAATGTGCTCATTATACACTTACTTCTAAAAGTTCTCTACATCGTTTAGAATTATTCGCTTCAATTTCTTTACAATGATCAATCATCTAGGAATAGAAATATAAGATTGAATAAAACCAGTTCAATGATAATTTACTTTGAAAAAAAATATATTTATTCATACAAAATTTAAGTACAGTCATGATGAAATGAACAAAAAAGAGTAGTTAATTGATTGTGGTTCGTGTAACAAACATTTCTTTCTATGAATTTCAATCATTGTAGAAAAAACCCGAAAGCATTTTTTATTCACTGATATTCCTTGGGAGAGTTTAGTTTAATTCATGAATGGTTACAAGAAATCAATATGAAATTACTCAAGTGATTGAAGATAAATACTGTCCATTGGTTGTTTAAATTGAATCCATAGTTCTGCAGGCATGGGTTACTAAAAAAATAATCATTAGTTCTAACGCATAGACTGATGAGGTGTAGAGGATGATCTTTCTTTGGAATTAAGCGAATTTCTAGGTATTTAATGAAATTTCAAAACAATAATAATTTTCATGAAAGTTATGCGTAAAACTATCCTTCTTCGCTAATCATACATTTGTTCTATATGATACTGGTCAAGAAACTTAGTAGTATCTTATACTCATTATCAGTCTTTACGGAATGCTCAACAGTCTAATTCTTTGTATAATCTATTTATAAATATAAAGGTCATCATCAGCTGTTACGAATGCACGTCAACAAGTCGCTTGATATGCTTGAACTATCACGAGTTTACCTTAGTCGGAAAACTAGAGCGAGCAACGAGAATTGAGGATCCGACGACAGGATATGCTGATCTAATCCGAACGACATGCTACTCTAACTCGATTATCTCAAACCCCATTGAGTTTAAGAAGACTTGATATTAAGTAGAACGTGGATTCTACAAACATTCAGAAAGTACGAGGTTCGAGTCCAGAAGAGGATCCCGGAATAAGGATCCGGGTCCGGATCATACAACATTACAGATAATGCGTACTTATACAGTTAGGTCGAACAGGAAGTCTGTGACATTAATAGTCAGGACGACCAATAGGAATTGACTAGTAGAATTAGGCTTACAAATATTTTTCTTAGGATATTGGATGAAATCACATGAAACCCTTTCGTTTAACATCAGGCATCTCAATGAAGTTGAGCGCTGATGATTATAATTCTCAGAAAAATAATAAAAGCTCTACAATTAAACCACCTACCACTATTAGAATTATTTTGATTACTAAGGAATATTCAACAGTAGCCAAATCAATTGTAACACTTACCATTCGACATAGGTTGATTGTTTGCTTTTTATATGGTGCACCATTCTGGAAAAAAGTTTATAACAAGTAACTTATTAATATTAAGAGTTTAAGTATATTGAGTTTTCTAAATGTTTCAATTTGATGTAATAAGAAATATTTTTGACAAACTTATTGCATACTGTTTTTGTTTTAAATTAACAATCTCACTTTTATTTCAACTTTTAAGTCCAGCATTAAATGAGTAAGAGATAAAATCTTCCACGGTTTCAAAAATCAATGTACCATTAAACCAATTTATTCGAATTCTCAGATTCAATCTAATACGCACCAATCACTTACTTACACCCGTCACTCCCAATGGAGCATAGGCCACACACCAGTGTTCTCCAACCTATTCTGTCCTAGGTTTCCCTTTCCATTTCTGTCCAATTTTTGTTCATTCTTCTCATATCTTTCTCTATTGCTCGGCGTAATATGTTCCTTATCCTTCCTCTTTTCCTTTGACCTTAGAGGTTCCATGTGAGGGCTTGTCTTGTGATGCAGTTAGGAGCTTTGTACAGTGTGTGTCCTATCCACTTCCACCGCTTCTTCCTGATTTCCTCCTCCACTGGAATCTTGTTTGTTCTTTACCACAGTACGTTGTTGCTGATGATGTCTGGCCAAAGAATCCGAAGTGTTTTGCGAAGACAACTGTTCATAAATACTTGTATCTTCTGGATGATGGCTTTGGTAGTTCTCCATGTTTCCGCTCCATACAGTAGAACTGTCTTGACATTTGTATTGAAACTCCTGATTTTGGTGTTGATTGAAATTTGTTAAAAGGATTTCCAGATATTTTTCAGTTGTAGAAATGCAGCTCTTGCTTTGCCGATCCGCTCCTTCACATCTTCATCGGATCCACCTTGGTTGTCGATGACGCTGCCAAGATATGTAAAGGTGTTAACGTCCTCCAAGGCATCTTCATCAAGAGTGATTTGGTTGGCACATGTGCATGAACACTTAACCTCTAGATCACTGAGCAGGCATCCAACGGTGCTGATATCTAACTTCTATCAATCCATCTTATTTTGTAACCTCTTCTATTGTCCTCGACGGGTATTTGCCTCACATCCGAAACGGTTGAAGTTCACTGGTCAAGGCTTCTCACTAGAACTTCGAGATTTTTTGACAAAGCTGTTCGCTAGTGAGCATAACATAACTGTTGTTACAGCGTTGTTCAGATTGTTGAGTTTCATTGAAATCATAAATTGATCTGTTTTTGGTCACCACTGGAAATCTGAGGGCACTTGAGAGCCGTTTAGCCTTAGTATGGGTGTGGAGGAGTTACGCACTAAACAAAATGGATCATGGTCGCGCAGTATCGTGCATTGATTCCAAATCGACATTAGTACAGTTAAATGTAGCCAACTCAGTGTTCAATAGCTTAGGCTTTTTCGTCTGAGACCAAAGGTCTTGGATTGGATTATTATTCGTAGCTTTGTGAATGCGCACTGCCAAATAGTCCCATGCAAGAACGTAACAGTTGTCCAGTGCTTCCAGCTTTCCAGTGATGTTCCAACATTGATCAGTTAGTGATTTTAATGAAACTTAACAATCTTCACAACTTCACACTAAGAAGTGATTTCACTTTGCTGCATGAGAAGTTATTACTTATCAATGAAATACGTTGAAGGATGCTACTAGACAGCTGATAAAAAAGGGCATTTGGTTGCCAATTTTTCGTTGCTGAACGAATCTTAAATACACCTTATAAAAAATTTCAACTGTAATTTGACCATATGTGGTTAACTGGTGTTTTTTATCACTAAATAATCACCAGTCAAAATTTTATTGATCGCTGATCATTACTGGAGCGAATAATTCAAAAATGTAGATAAAACACACAGTATATTTGTCATTTAATGACTTCCAATGAACTGACAACAATTTATGTCGTTTATCTTCAATTATAATGTATAATACATTGATTGGTTCTTTTACATGTCAGCAACTAATATGTAATTAGACCATGTAATTTCTGTTATCCTTACAATAACAACAGTGATGCGTACGTCTATTGTAACTGATTTTTTACTTTATTTGATCCAAATCACGAAACAGCATCTTATGACTTGAATGAGCTAAGAAGCTTTTGTTAGTGCATATATATGTATATATCTTGATATTTAGTCTAAGTAGTTGTCAGGTTCATCACTACGTATGCTTGAAACTATTACGGCTTCACCTTAGTCGATAAACGCAAACGAGACAATGAACCAATGTCCAGGTAGGCTACCTTGATCCGAAACGGCTAAAGAGAAGTCTTGATAAGCGTAGAAAGTATATTCTACAAAAACCCAGCAAGCCGAATGCACAATGTATTCAAGCATATAAATCTGGTTTATTTATACATCATAGAAACGTCCTTGGGACAGCCACAAAAACAGCATACTAACATACACAACGGCCAATCATAGCCAAGGATTTTCCTGGTGGGAAACGTAATCTCAAGGTCAACTGATTAGCACATACTGGGAAACGTAAAATCCAAATTAAGGCATTTATCAAGGGAGTTCTGGGGATCGAACGTCCCCAACAGTAGTTTTACAAACGTCATTTACTTTAGAAGTTTTTCGAGACTAAGTTTTGGTTTTGCCATATAATATTATGGAGATAGCTGTTTTCTTATTGTTCATTCATGATTTTCATGTAAAATAAGGATCTCCATAATAGTACGTGACCAGTAGAGTTCAACCCTATCGGGTGTAGGCACTAACTACCGAAGGCAAATGGGTGGGGTTGCACAAAATCCTCAGATTGATCAGAGTTAGACAATAACACTGTTGGGTGCCGGTCCATTGGTCCAAAGGTTAGGCGTTCGCGTGTAAAACCGAAGGTCCTGGGCTCGAATCCTGCCAGTTGCAGGAATCGTGCATGCGTACGGCTGACGATTCCCATACTAGGACGAAACGACCATCCAGCGCTTCTAGGTTTCTAATGGTTATCTAACAAGGGTTGATTCATGATTACAGTAATAAATAAAATAAAATTATCTAGTATAAATGTCAATGAAGATGAACAAGTTGTTTTATTCTAATAGTTTTTCATACAAATACATAAGTGTTTTAACTAACCTGATTTGTTGTACTTGATTCCAGTATTTGAAATTGTTTCATAATAATACGTGTACTTTCATTTTCTGATCGTTATTATTATCATTGGTAGTAGTGGTAGTGATTTTTAACAGTAATATCCATAAATTAAATAAAAAAAATGTTTGTTTAATAGCTTCATAACTTTGGAAATGCTAATAAAAACTACATAAAATGCTTGATCTTTCTGTTAATGATAATTTGGTTTATATAATAAACGTTTATTAACATGCGCTCAAAATAACAGGGATAATTGATAGGAATAATAAATTTTTAATATATTATACCGGAAAGGATGAACTTTTGAATAATATCGATTAGTATAAATTAAGAGGTTTCATTTTACATGAATAATTTCAGCCAGATTATATTCTGATTGGACATGTAGGCAATCTAACTCCACCTGGAACTCCTATGTAGTTACTGGCGGTCATAAGCTTGGATAAAGGAGGAAGATTGGGCATAAGGGTCAATGATCCTAACCCATAGAAAGCTAACTCGCTAAAAAGCCGTCAATCAAAAAAGTTAGTCCAAACCATTTAGACTCTGCCCCGGGGAAGTATGTAAGTAACTTAACTACCTGTTTAAATTAGTTAGCAGAACATTAGAAAAATTGTTGTTTTTTTCAGATTTAAAGTCTAAAAGTCACCTTTTCAATCGAAATACAATGTGACGGGTTATTGATTTCTGATGATACTCCAACAATGATTGAATCATGAATTCAATGTAAAAAAATAGCAATCACCATAACTTCATAGTGAAAAATTATATTATAATGCCATTGAATGATTATTAACCAACATTATATCTCTTTAGTTGGCAGTTTGGATCAAACATTTTTCGATTCTGGTTTCAATTAGCTGAAATCGACAAATGTCTCACATAATTATTGGTGTTTGTCAGAAAGATGTATCTATATTTAGGAGACAATCTTATTTCTTCCAGTAATATTGTAGTGCACATCATTTAGTATTACAACCAAAGGATGAATTTACTGCGCAGTATTTTACTCCTTCCTACTTTATGTCTGTGAAACCAGACCACTAAGAGTATAAGATATTCGTAGGTTTGCGATCATAGGTGTCTCCAAAGCATTGGTCATTTATCTTGGGACAATCGAGTAGGCAATGCAGTAGTTAGGAAATGGCTACTAGGTAAAGATGGCAGACCTGGAGTAACGAAACTTGACCAGTTGAGGTGGTTGGGACATGTGTTGCATATGCCTAACCACCGACTGCCTCGACGAGCTTTGTTTCGTGGTGTAGGAGTAGGTTGGAAGAAAGCTAGGGGCAGCCAAACCGAAACATGGCAGAAATCCATGAAGTCACAAACAACTGGATTGAGTAACGTTGGTAAGTGTCAACTACTTGGTTTGGATCCTCAAAATGATAGTAATCGATGGTTAGAGATTTTGAATGACATGGCTCAAAATCGTTTGCCATGGCGCAGGTGAATCCATTCTTTGTGTTTTCTCAAATTCTAATCTTCTGAATTCCTCACGACCGTTTTCATACTCTTTTTTTTAATTAATTCCTCTTGGTGTTATACTTTTTTAAATCATACCTTCGATCCATAATCGTTTTAATTATCGCTAATACTTCTCTACTATCTCCACCACTATGGGATTTTAAGTGACATTTGCGTGTCTATGTTAATTTGGTATGTCAACTTGAACTGATGTACGTACATACGAAGTTCTTCGTTGTAGCTGACTGACTGACTGACTATTACAACTAAATATGTTATCATTAAGTTGTTTTAGACCATGATTGACATCTCTTTACTCTAAATGTATATCATTACAGCAAATTTATTGTCATACATAGTGGTTAAAAATACCAATAGACAAAAAGCTCACATATAACATAACATACAACATTATCAAAACAATAGATAATTATTTGACAATCACTTACCAGCAACTGCACGTTTTTCTAAACTTAACACTAAATCTTTACATGTTTTACACCATAATTTACAATAGTCAAATACAAAATCCACAGCATTTTTATCACTTTTAGCTAGTTTGGTATCTTCTTCTGATACACCACTTCCTATATATTAGAAAATTTTCAAATAAAGTTAAAAAAAAAGAGAATTGAAATGTTTTTTTTTTAAAAAAAATATTTAATGAATACTGTGCGTCAATTAAATTGATTAGGAAAAAACTTGTCACCGCGAAAAAATATAACTTTGCGATTAAACAAAATACAAGAATAACTAGATAGGATAGTGGAAGTTTCGTGTTCCACGAAAGTGGGTCGCCTTAAAAAGAGAAAATGAGAATTTTACATGTACATATATTATTTATATTTCTCAGCAACTTTTAAAATAAGTGCTTATAAGGTTAAGAAAAATACTGATAGGAAAAAAGGCACTTTATTGTAAATGTTATCTTATTTTCATGATTTTTCGTCAGTATGTAAAATTTCCTTGTCAACACATAAATGTCCTACCGATGAAAGTCAAACCAACCGAGTAATATAAAAATATTTGCACGATTAGACCATTCATATTTACAGATTTATCAGAGAAATTTTTTCCATCGCTCGAAAAGCTTATTTTCTGTTTTCAGACAGACAAATAAAACGTAGCACTTCGTATTTAAGTATATCAGTTCAAGTTGCCATACCAAATTAGCATAGACGCGCCACTGTCACTTCAAATCCCATAGTGGTGGAGATAGTAGAAGTATTAGCGATAATGAAAAGTATTAGAGATCGGAGATATTATTCAAGAAGTATAATTCAGTGAAATAAATTTAAAAAGTGAAAGACCGAGATGAGTAGGAATTCAGAAGGTTAGAATTTGAGAGAACACAAAGAATGAATGCACTTGCGCCAGTGCAAACGATTCTGAGCCATATCGTTCAAAGTCTCCAACCATTGATGACCTTCGTCTATGCCAACATGACTCAATCCACTATTTTCACATGCTATCAATTGATTTTAACTATTCAACAACACTTATTTTCTCAATATGTCATTTCGATCACTTACATAATTTATTTTTAAAGAAAATCAGATCGTAAATAACAAAAATATTGAATTGAAACATTTCAAACACGAAAGAGAAAATATCTCCAAAAAACACAAAAAGCCTTCATGCATCATAGGTTGTTAAACTTTACACAGATTTCTTTTAGCCTATTGGCATTCTCGTTTATTTTTTGAAATATTATTTTTTTTATTCTTCTAATCTACAATAAAAATATTTATTTACTTAACAAACTAATAATCATCATAATAATAATCATAAAATTAATTCACAATTGAACAGAATCCTAAAAAACACATCCATCATGATATTGCGCGAAAATCAAAAAAAATACCCAGTGTAAAATGGTGAAATGCGTTTTATTTTATTTATTATTTTTTTTTGAAAAAAAATACACAAATACAAATGTAACCTCTAGTAAAATAATAATAATAATAATCATGGTAAAAAGAAGAAACATCTTATATAACAAGATGGAAAACACTTAAGCCACTACTGCAAAATAAAAAATGAATGTATTTTCATGAATTTTTTTTTAATGCATACATATTATGTACTATAAGTTAGTGAAAATATTTTTTCAATAAGATGAAAGGTAAATCTTTTATTCATAAATGTATATATGTTTATGTAGATAGATACATTGTTGATAGATTGTATAAATGTCAAATCTGAAAGGTGCATGTATAAAATAATGTGTAATGAACCATACTAGTAGTAGTAGTAGTAGTAGTAGTAGTAGTAGTAGCATTTAGCCTTGACCTAGAAACACACATTAATGTAATATTTTACGCCTATTTTATTTACTTATTTATTATTTAACAGTTGTAGTAAACGTTTACTTTTACCGTTCATCAGTTTACATATATGTATATATACTGTCGGTATCTGTAAGCATATATGGTTGATTTAGTAGATTTCAGGTATCGTTTTATTTTTCTCTCTCTCTCTATCTCTCTGTATTTTCTGAAGAAGAAGCAAATTTGTAAAAATGTATTGCTATTGCATTTGCCTTACTTTTCCTATTTTTGCTTTCTGTTAGAAATAAAAAAATATTAGTATTTTTCGTAAGAGATGAACAACAACAAAAATCGTGAACTCAGCTCACTGCATTCCGCTCTAAAACATGCTTTAAACTATCCTGAACTGATCAATGATCAGTGATAGGATTAATAAGCAATGAGTAAAATGTAAAGCGTATACAGTCTAAGTGTTATTAAATAAAGTGTAAATTCACTTGTATAGATAGATGTATAATTTGTATATCTATATATATACATGTGTACAAGTAGTGCACAACTACTTTATAATCTATAGAAAATAAGTAAACAAGTTGTCTTTTCATAATTTAATAAATAACTGTTATGCGATTCAATAGAATGGATATATAAATAATTCTCCCAGGAGGTATTGATTGACATACGATAATCATAAACATGAAACGTATCATTCATAATCAAAATAATTTAAATTTTGATGACATACTGATTGATTTTATTCTATGTTCTATGTTCTAGAATTCGACTGATTAATGAATGGCATTCATTTTAATTAGGTGCCTAAAGTAATTTGATGATTGTTCTAACCGGATGTCTAGTTTTCTTTCATTTTCGGGAAAAAAGTAAACATTCTGTATGATGTGTGTGTGTGTTAGTGTAATTCTTTTCAGTTTCATTTCTCATGAACAAGATAAATTATGGGTTTTTAAGTTAACTAACGTTTTTAACTAAAAACTTTTAGTGAAAATTAAAAATAAGTGAAAAGTAAGAAGAAATGAAATTTTCTGGTGTTCTATTTTTTTGATATTGAAATCATGACTAAGAATCATTGGTAGATCAACATTAGAGAAAGTTGAATGCATTGGACGGCCATTTCATCCTAATTCATCAACAGTGCACATTCATGACTCCTGAATGGCGCAGGATTTGAACCCAGAAATTTCGGCTTTGTATGCGAGCGCTCGACTATTAATTTTGTCCATACATTTAAAAATATCAAAAACTTAAATGCTCTAATTTTACTAGTAAATCTTTAAATATTCACTAAACATTCTTTCTAACGACACAGGATTATAATGCTATTAATATATATTTAACTGACTTCATAGCTTTTTATAAGTTTTAAAATTTAGTGATATATATATATATATATATATATATATATATATATATATATATGAAAACAGATTTTATAACAATGTTTGACTAAGAAATCAAATTAATGTATTATCTGAAAAAAAGTCATGGGAAATACATTCATTAATAAGAAATAATTGGTTATGCAATGAAATTAGATAAAACATTGCATTTTATTCGAATCTACAAACGTTTACAATCATTGAATTCACGAACTGATCTAAACTAGACAACTATTCGAGGAAACCTGTAAGCATTAGATGGCCGTTCTGTCCTAGTATGGGTTCCATGATAGTGCACATTCCCTACACTCGCACGTAGGAATCAGACCTATACTTTGAAGTTTATAATAGTAGTCTAGCTAAGATCAGTTTGTGATTTCACCTATGAAGCTTAAACAATCTCTGCAAATCTTCTTCCTCAATCTATAGTTACGACAAACACTTTCTTATTTCATGGTTCATTGTTTAGATAAATACGAAATTCCTGGATTAAAAGTGAGCGAATTGTAGTGGTACTGTAGGAAAATTGGGGTTGCTTTTTTCTTTAACTGTCTACTATGATTGTTATTGATTTCAATAATGAATTACATGAACAAATGACAATGAATTATATCAGTTAAAGTTGAAAAATTGAGATAATTTCAATCGATAAACACTTGTGTTAAAGTTGAAAAAATCAATCTTCTTTTGAATGATATGTCGTAAAAAAATTCAAGTCAAACTATATTGTTATCATAACCAATGGAAAACTTAAAAATTTCTTGATTCAATCCATTCTAAAGTTTCATTTCGATCTTCAGTACTGAAATCTTACAAAAAAAATCAGTAGGATAGTTTAGTCCATTTTTTTTACGTTCATCAGTTTATTAGCTAATGTTAATTAATTCTGTGAAATTTTTACGCCTTTCAGGATACTCTAGCAACATAAATATAGCAGCTAGTTATTACGATTAAAATAACTGAATAATTTACATAATGGCTTGTTGCAATTAAAGCAATATTAGATATTATCTTGAGTATATAAAGTAAAATAATTTCAAATGTTTAGTAATTACATTGTGATGGAAGATAGAGATGTTCAATGAAAGAACTCATTTTCAACACCCAGCGATTCTATATAACCAATAATTTAGATTATTCAGTAAGTTGTTCGGCTATAATGTTGAACTTATACACCTGTTCAAGTTTCCATATCATATTAGCACAGAGATCGAGTTGTCAATTCAAATCCTACGGTGGTAGATGTAGTCGAATTGTAAACAGTGATCTAAAAGATTACGGTTCGAAGATATTATTCAAGGGGTATAATGCTGTGAAATAAATTTGAGAAGAGAAAGATGAAGGTCATGAAGAATTCAGAAAATTAGAATTTGAGAAAACACAAAGGATGGGGATGCACTTGCACCACTGTAAACAATTTTGACCCATGTCATTCAAAGTCTCTAACCATTGGTTACTATTGTCTCAACTATAGCCTCAACCACAGACAAAGGTTTACACACAAGGTTATGGATTGATTTAAATCAGATATTAACAATGTTAACTGAAGATTTTGGATTGGACCACTACCTACGAGGTTTTAGCTACGCACTACACTAGGACGAAACGAACATTTATTAATTCCAGGTTTTCAGTGACAGTCTCTTTAAGATGAGTTCATGATCTTAACTGTGAAACTAATCCAATCTCTTTTACCCCTCTTTACCAAAAGCAGATAGTCATTGAAAAAAGAATCTGTGAAACACGAGAAATACATGATCAGTATGATGAGAAGCTTTATCTGTAGTTATGACGAATTTGAAATTAAGCTACGTGAATCGTTTTTTTTAAAAACCTGGTAGAATTAATTTTTGTAACAATAATAATAAAATTTATTACAACAAAGCCATTTATCTGAACATTAGAGTGAAAAAGTTAAAA